TTCTAGAAGGTTACCCATGTTTCATGGGTTGAAACTGGAATTGAATCAATTGCATGTGTTTCTTCAATACTGGATGCTTCTTACCATGAGTAATCTTGACCTTGTCCACATGGGTCTAGTCATTCATGACACAACTGCAAATTTAAGGGACCCTTTTTCCAAGTATGAGCTTGTACAGTCACTGCATTACAAAACTGTTGCTTGAAGAATTATTTACACATTTGTTCCCATGCAGTGACCTTGTCCTTGGTGGAAGATCTCAAAATTTCTCAAGGTGATAAGTGGTTTAAATTGTCTCTGTATTACAAGATTGTTACCTGGACAAGAATCCATATGACTTTATGACTTGGGTCAAACTCCAAGATTAAGGCCAACATTTTTTTATTTACTGTTTTACAGGAATTTTTTTACAATAAATACACCTTTGAAATATGAAATCCATAGCCTCACCCACTCAAAAGTTAGGGCAAGGTTTAAGTTTTTACGGACAAACATATAAACAGACAAAAATGGACAGGACAAAAACTATCAACCATTGAATCATTGATTACAGGGATGTCTCCTAGGTCAAGATTATACTTGAAAAAATTAATGTTAAAACAATTTTATCATATATTTTTTTTGGTATTGAATAAAAATACACCTATGAAATACTACTTCATTATGGCAATAATATATAATTAGTGAGGCTTTTAATGGATCAAAAGTTATAGTCAAGGTTAACTTTTTCAAAAAGTCAATCTCTAAGGTCAAGGTCAAATATTTTTGTATCCATTGAAGGGTTTTGTCACAATGAATACACGTGTGAAGTATGAGAACCCTGGTACAAACTATTCAAAAGTTATGACCAAGGGTTAAGTTTGTAAATTTTTGGTAAAATGGGTCACACTCCAATTTTTGTAAAAAACACTAGGTCAAATTTGTGTGGTATCATCTGCAGAAAGTTTTTTATAAGGAATTTTTTTTTAAAAAAAAAAGAAAGCCATTAGCCCCACCCTGAAAAATTATGGCCATTAATTTGTTACATAACAAACAAAATATAATGATGGGGCAAAAACGTAGTAAGTGTGATTAACATGATATTAACGAGTGAAAGTTGTGGAATTTCCCAGGCAAATTTCTACAGGATCTGTTCAGCCGTTACATGTATCTGAAAACATTGATTTCTCTTCCAGATATACTGTATTTGTATTGTAATCTTATATACAAAGAAAGATATTAAAATGCTATCATTTAGAAATAATTAATTTTTTTTTAAAACATTTATCTTTAGTATATATCAGCACTACTTTTACACTTTTTAAAAGTAAACATAATATATTTTTTTATAGCTAAAAATGACATATCACTTTTTAAAAATGACTGTAGCTGGAAAAATATATTAAACATTGGATATAACGCTGCTTATATGGGCAACTTTTTCATTACCCAGCTTTAGTTTTTAACTGTATTTCCTATAAATTGATGAATATAGCCAAGCCAATTCTCTCATGTGCAGCTTTGATAACAAATTTTGCTGTCGTTTCTTTTAATTTTTCAATATGAAATGCACTCATCCACGCTAAATCTGACAAATAAAAATTCACGAAGTAGACATCCCATTTTTAATCATTGATTGTCTAAAATTATTTAAATTTGATTAAAAAATGTTTTAGGTTTTTTTCATTTTCCGATGAAAATTACACAATACCGATGTGTGTGTGCCATGTGTACATCTTTGAAATTATGAAATCCATAGTCCCACCCATAAAAGTAGAAAAAATATTTAAAACCAGATTTTGCTAAAATTATAAATATCTCAAGATAACAAATAACTGAATATTGAAAATTGTTTTCTGTTACCAACACAGTTAATTGTTTATTTTCATTTGTGTATAGTATCTCTCGTATATTATGAAAATACACACTTAGCATGCTTAATCTGTGGACTAATCATCGTAAGTCATTCATAACACTGGCACAGGTGATAACTTTTTAAAAACAACCTAATCCGGCCAGTGTTTTGATAACAATTATCACTCAGTTTTGTCACAATGAATGTTGAAGTAGAATGGAAGTACAAATTAAAATTTACCAAGGGATAAATGAAGCAATTTATAACGTAAAAATACATTTTGTAGGTAAAAAAGGTCACGGTCAAATTTGATGGAACGCGAAAGTTCCTTATAAATGAGTAAAAATTTCGTGAAAAAATCCGTTCCCACTCAAAAATTATGGCCAAGTTAAGACAAACGGATGGATATAGTGATGGGGCAAAAACTATATACCACAGAATATTCATTTATGGGGGCTTATAAATATCTGTTAGCATAAGAATGTGTATCGGTTTGGGGTAAACACATGTCAGTTATCAGATTCACTTAAAATAGTTTCAATTTAGATTAATCAATTTTAATTGTGAAAGTTTTCAATAATCAATCTACTTGGATTTGATTCTACAAGTGGTAATCCAACTTATACTCATAGTTCCCTTTCTAAGGAAGAAATTCTTCAATATCATAATTATGTCAGTTTTGAATATTTATAAGATCCCTGAGAACCAAAATGAATTTGAACCATATAGATATGGTCTTCCAACAATCTATTGGAATCAATTGGAATTCCCTTGGGTACCAATTGCGCTCCGTTATTAGCAGATCTTTTTATATTCATTTGAATCAGAATTTGTCCGAAATCTTATACGTGAAAAGAAGAAAACACTTGCTGTGGCCTTCAACTCGACATTTCGATATATCGACGACGTATTGTCAATTAACAATGGTAATTTCCATTCTTATGTCGATACAATATATCCCAGTGAGCTTGAGATAAAAGATACCACAGAGTCTGACACATCTGTTTCATATTTTGATATTTTACTTGAAAAAGACATTAATGGTAATCTTACAAACAAGCTCTACAATCGTCAACTTCCGCAAGTTCGTAAGTTCGGTGGTCGATACAATGACCGTGTCAGCAAATGCAATTCATCATTGAGTTAAATGCAGACTGACGTTTTTCATAATAATTGTTAGTCCATTATTTATACGCTGAATTGACGACGGGTTTTTCCGTTATTTCCCGATCATGACAAGGGGCACATGGCGGGTGTGACCGGTCAGAGGGGGATACTCACTCCTTCATGGCACCTGATCCCACCTCTGATTTTGGAGGTCCGTGTTTGCTCTGCTCCTATTTTTGTTTTGTATTGTTTAATGGACTTTTGATCTTGAATACTGTGCGTTATCTCCGTATGTTTTTATTAGAAAGCAATATTTTCCCGAGCATTTGCAAAAGTGAAGGAACATAAAACCTAAATTGACTTTCAGTCTGTCCTTCTGTAACAAACACTTTAAACCTTGGTCAACACCACTGGGTGTCATACTTGGGCATCATTGTTTCACAAACACCTCCTGGTTTTTTGTTTTTTTTTCAAATGGGTAAAACTCCAAGGGCGAGGGGTCAAATTTAGTGGTACACGAAGAAAGGTCTTGTCGGAAGGAATGCACTTATGAAAATATAGTTATAGCCCTACCCTTTCAATAGTTATAGACAAAGTCCAAAAGTTATCGCCAGACCCAATCCTATAGCTGAAACTTTAAATATCAAATATTGGAAAATCTGCAAGAAGTAAAAAAAATTCTACACATGGATGTTTTTGGCTTCCTTGGACATTTTGAGAACACAAATACCAAATACATGCATTTATACAAAAGACAGACCACTTTGTTTTCTGACAAAGTCTATAACCAGAAAGGGATTTTGTTTGTAAATTCATTTTATATAAACAGTAGTAATTGGTCTGTCTCCCAAAACACCATATAAGAAGGCATGCTGCTGAGCGTAAAGATATTGTCAAGCTGTAATTTTGTTAATTTAATTTTTAATTTAATAGGTGACAGTAAACACAGAATTTATGGCATGGCATCTTGTTGTCATGTTGTAAATTCAAAATTTACAACATGACAATATATTATTCCCAGAACGCGGTTGCCATATGAATTTTTCAATTCACACTTTGTGCCTATCCGTACCATCCAGAGATTTTTGTTGTTGTTGTTTTTTTTAATCAATATTTTAATAATTCAACCCCAACATACTTTGCAGTGCTAGTTGAGGTAACAAGGTAAAGAAAATTATACAAAAGAAGCTGGTTTTTTAAAAGAATAACACGATGAAAGGAATGATACAGTCACAATGTTCACTTGCTCCTAATTTCACACAAGTGACAACTTTCACCTTTAGATTTGCTTACTGAATGTTTTTTCAAAAAGAGAATTTATTATTATAGTGAAATTTACATGGTAGATACAAGTGTACGTTTTCTTGGAATAAGACGGTTAATAATGAATGAACATCTTTTCTGTGGGCTTTTTGTTTTAAAAATTGTCATACAATCAGGCAATTTTAAATTTACATATGTACATATGTATAGTAATAAATATAGATAGGACCTACCGTAACATAAAAATGTTTATATTATTAAGCAATGTTGGTATGATTTTAATATTACAGTGTATCATATCCAGACCCTTCCTACTTCGTTCGAATAAAACGTATTTAGTCTTTTATTGAAATTGAAATCTATCCTCCTTATTCCCACTGTTAGTTACAAATCGCCCTAAAATATTGTACTTGAGAGGAAAATTCTGAAAATATTGAGTAAGAATCTTTCTTCCCAAGATTTTTTTAGTTTGGGGAATTTTCTCTCTCTCTCTCTCTCTCTCTCTCTCTCTCTCTCCCATGCTACCCGTCTATAAAACTTTAATTTATTTCATCGTAAAAATGATTGGTACAGTCAGAAATATCTGATATTTTATCCTACATTCATTTTCATCAAACACGTACGTGAAAAAAGCCTGGAAAACGTCATTAATTATAATTTTAATCTCAATCTTCCTATGTGTCTGTTTGTAAAATAGATTTGACTAGCATATAATAATTTTGCCTGCATATCCTTAAAAATATATGTGTCTGTGTCGGGTGGGGGGGATCAGAACGATCCAATCGCAGCACTGGGCCCGAATTCACGCAACACCGGTTTTGACGTCAGCGCGCCATTTCAAAGATTATAAACAACTCCAGAAGCAGAGGTCCAGTACCTTTGTTCGAATCTCAACAAGGATAAAAAGTCAGGTTAGACATTATTTTTGGAATAATACCATCAGTGCAATTAGTGCAATTAGTGCAATAATGAAATCTATGTACAGAATAACGAATACCAATACATGAAGGCCAATGGAATGCCTTTCTCTACAGTCTAACCCCGTTACTCAGCAAACTGACATCGCCACTATCAATTAAACTTCCTGTCTCCTGCTTATGGAGGCCAGCTAATGGCCTCTGGTCACCCACTGATAAATGGGACTAAAATTATTATAGATTGTGTGGAGAATGTGTGAAGAAATGATCTTATAACACAGAATAAAAAGTGAAGTTGCAAATTTTTGGAAGTTTGACAATTAGGCAATAATGCAATCGTTTTTGAAAGTACCAATACATGAAGGCCAATGGAGAAATTTTTTTTTAATTACCTAAAAAAACAACAACAACAACATTAAAAGTTGCCCAAACTCGAAAATCCTATTTCGTGGGGGGGGGGGGCTAGTGGCCTTTTTCGGTCACCCAACTTAATAAACTTCCAATTTTCCCCCTACAAATTTCACTATACTATGGTATAAAGTGTGTGGAGAATGTTGAATGAACATTTACTACACACAGGTAATGATTGTGAAGTTGCAAATGGAAGAGTTTGACTATTAGTGTATTACCTATTTCGTTCAATATGGTACTGGCAGTATTTGTTGTCTTCACAAGAAAGGATTGTATGTGTATAAATATACATAAAGATATTTAGGGGCTACTCATCTTAAGAAGATGAAATAGTCTATCTGTATTGAAATGTACATCTCTAAAAGTACGTAAATTTAGTCTACAGTACAAGAAAAAATTTCTCATTTGGTTTTCTGGTCCCAATTAAAGGAAGGTCAGTGTTAGGATGGTGTATTTTGTGTATCGTACAGTAATTTTTTTTATGTCTGTCTAAGTACACTCAAAATGAATTGAAAAATCCCTTAAATTTGCCAAACTTTTTTTTAGCTCACCTGAGCTGAAAGCTCAAGTGAGCTTTTCTGATCACATTTTGTCTGTAGTCCGTCTGTCTGTCTGTCTGTAAACTTTTCACATTTTCGACTTCTCAAGAACCACTGGACCAATTTTAACCAAACTTGGCGCAAAGCATTCTTGGGTGAAGGGGATTCAAGTGTGTTCAAATGAAGGGCCAAGCCCTCTTTTTAGGGGAGATAATAATGAATTAATGAAAAATTTATGGTATCTTTTAAAAATCTTCTTCTCCAGAACCATTGGGCCAGGAAAGATGAAAATCATGTGAAATCATCCTCAGGTAGTGTAGATTCAAGTTTGTTCAAATCATGACCCCCGGGGGTCGGGCGGGGCCACAATGGCCGATCAAAGTTTTACATAGAAATATATAGGGAAAATCTTTAAAAATCTTCTTCTCCAGAACCATTGGGCTAGGAAAGATGAAATTCATATGGAATCATCCTCATGTACTGTAGATTCAAGTTTGTTCAAATCATGACCCCTGGGATAAGGCGGGACCACAATGGCCGATCAAAGTTTTACATAGGAATATGTAGGGAAAATCTTTTAAAAATCTTCCTATCCAGAACCATTGGGCCAGGAAAGATGAAACTCATATGGAATCATCCTCAGGTAGTGTAGATTCAAGTTTGTTCAAATCATGACCCCAGGGGGTAGGGCATGGCCACAATAGCCGATCAAAGTTTTACATAGGAATATATAGGGAAAATCTTTAAAAATCTTCTCCAGATCCATTTGGTTAGGAAAGATGAAACTAATGTGGAAGCATCCTCAGATAGTGTAGATTCAAGTTTGTTCAAATCATGACCCCCAGGGTAGGGCGGGGTCACAATTGCTGATCAAATTTTTACATAGGAATCAGGGCCGTCACTGCCCTCAAATTTGTTTTCCCAATGGCACAAAGTGGAATATATAAAAATTCCCAAAAACGTGTTTTCTCGAATCAATTTTTACACACACACATCCTTTATTTGATCCAAGCACTAATGCATGATTAATTTTAATCTGCAACAACCCTGTCATGATCGTTTATTTCATTTTTCCTCTGTCGTGGAATAGAGATCTATAGATAGGTCATGCGTAGATTGGGTTGGGGAACTTAATTTCATTATTAAACAAGGATAACCATTATGAGTTAATTCATAAAATAAATAAACAATTTTAAAGTGAATTATAAGTTAAAAGAAAACCTTAGATACTATCTGTTTCATTTTCATGTGTTAAATGACCAAAAAAAAAAAAAAGAGAAATAAATTGTAGATCTAGGCAATTTTATGATATTACATTAAATTTTAAATAGTAACTTGATAATTTCAATAAATAATTCTTTATAATCAAAATTTTTGATTTATTTAAGATGCAATTAAACAGTAAGAAATAACCCCTCACCACAATTTTTATTCTCTGTAATTTTTAAAAATGCATAGGAATATATACCTTATGATATAGGAAAAAATTTAGCTTTTCAAGTATACTTTTCAAAGTGATAAATGGCTTTCATGTTAAATATTTTGTCAAATTGACATATAAAATTTTCCCAATTTGACAAAAATGCAAGTGACAGCCCTGGGAATATATAGAAAAAATTTAAATTTAAAGTTTTGTCAAATTGAAATTGCATCTGCAAGTAGTGAAGGGTTTGGGTGGGGTGTGGGGGGTGGGGGGGGGGTGGAGGGGTCACAATGGGAGATCGAGTAATATATTGGAAAAAATCTTTAAAAATCGTCTTTTCAAGTATGTCAAAATTTTACATGACTTTTGTATGGTTTATTGATATATTGACATTTTCAAGTTAGTAATAGAAAACAAATCCCCCTCATCCAACAAGTAAGCTTTTCAATAATAAGTTGATTTTGGTTTTTTAACTAGCCCATGTGCTCAGGTGAGCGATGTGGCCCATGGGCCTCTTGTTAAAATATGGTATTTTGACAAAAATAAACTAAAGAGAGTGGATAAAAAGTACTTGCCATTTTGATTTCGATCAGCTCATCACATTCCCCCCTCCCTTTTTAGCTCACTTCAATGTCTTTGGGGGAGCTTATATGATACCCTCAACATCTATGTCATCCCATGTTAAAGTTTTTTTTTATTTAAACACTTCTTTGCCTTACCTGAGTTATAGATACATGGAGGATGCTTCTAGTGTGATTTATTGTACCAGCCAAGGTTTCAGATACTGTAATTTCAGCAAAGGAATGACCACATAATGTCACATTATTGTTCTTGGAGCAGGTTAATGTTTTAAGTGCAGATTAATGTTTTGGGTGCAAGTCTCGATCATTTCCAAGTAACGATGAGCTTATGTTGAGCAAATTTGCATGGATGATACATTTGAGGATGCACACTGTCAAGCTTGCTTTGGATTCTTGATCTGACCTACATTTTCTGGTCGAGTAAACAGATTCAAGTTTTTTGTGCAGGTCCCATTTCCAAGTAATTATGAGCCCTATGTTGCCTAAACTTGCTTGATGATACATCTAAGGATGAATACTACCAGGCTTGCTTTGGATCCTGGATCTGACGTACAATTACCAGATGATTGACACAGGGTAAAGTTTTTGGTGCAGGTCTTATTTCTAAGTAACTGTGAGCTCTATGTTGCCCAGGCTTGCTTAGGATCCTGGATCTGACCTACATTTTCCATGATTGACACAGGGTAAAGTTTTTGGTGCAAGTCTCATTTCCAAGTACTGTGTACAGGGTTATTTTCGCCCCATGTTATTTTCTCACTCTTTTGCACTTTCAATCAATTTTGCCCCCTTTTAAATTCGCCCAGTCATAGTTCTGTTTAAGAAATTATGCTATGTTCTTTGAATTTGCCCCATTTTAAATTCGCCCAATCATGAAGAAGGCGAAAGGGGCAAAAATAAAAGGGGCTGAAAATTTCCCTGTATACAGTAACTTTAAGCCCTATGTTGCCCAAACTTGCATGGGTTATACATCTAAGGATGCACACTATTGGAGTTGCTTCAGATGCTGGACCTGGCATACATATTACAGATAATGGACCAGGTTAAACACCCAATTTTATGTTAACGCCCCCAAAATCTACCTGATTCAAGATCAATAATTTACCGCCTGTCAATCATTAAAAAAACAATAGCTTCTGATATGATTGACAGGTCAGCTACCGATAGTCTGAGTTTATGTCCTTTGAAAACGCTTGCCTGGTCACGCGTCAAAAACTTTTATGTAGCCGCCTTGTATACACGGGTTTAAAAAAAGAATCTTGGTAAAATTTTATTTTAAAAACAATTGAGAGTAGATAATTAAAACATGACTTCATAAAATATTTGCTTTTAATCTCAACGGCTATATTGTATTTTAGGCGGTATGTCGTCCAAGATATCTGCTCTGTAGAATTTAGACCAGTCCGTGCACAGAAACGCTAATTGTCGATTAAAATTGAAATATGATAAATAAGAAAAGATATTTAGCACAAACGGCACGGATAAAAAAAATCATTTATCCCATGTTTTATCTACGTATATATGAATACAATCTATACCATGTTCCGTTGTAAAGTTCTGAAATGAAAATAGCTAGGAGTTTCGAGATTGTAACTTTTAGTTCGAATTTCCTTACATCTGTCAATACCCAATATTCGAAATTAAAAAGTGAAAATATGAAGCCAAAGATCAATTCTTAAAGGTATAAAAGAAATCTTGCAAACAATAAAAAAAAATTAAACACACGAACACCCGGAAATGGAGAATATTTTCGACACTATTGTTGATCAGAACGTAGGCAATATTCCTATCGCAGTACGGTACATTGTATATGTTCACACGACGGATAGGCCTACCTATGAATGGAATATTTAATTATATAATTTTTTTTAAAATTTTGATATTTACACAAGTTTAATTTAAAAAGATATGTTTACTTTGTAGTTTTACACTGTGTTCTTTTCTTTAATTTTAAATATAAAAATGATATTTCTGTATATATTTTTTTTCTTCATTATATATCACTGAAAGTATTTATAATTTTTTTTTTTCATTGAAATATTTCAATTATTTCAAGTAGTTTCACTCAAATTTAGACACGAAACACGGAATATTGACCCACCGACCCTGATCACCAGACACAGACTTCCTGTGTAATGCTACGTGTATATACTAGATTTTTGACATCTTGGGTATTGGGGGTCTCCAGGTAAATAACACCACTGTTACCTAGACCACTCCCCCTCCTCAGGTAACCGTACGGTAAAAAAATTGGGTCTTTAAAGTTTTTAGTGCCCAAGGCCGTAACTACCATTGAGGCAAGTGAGGCAAATGCCTCACTAAATTTTGAGAGTTTTCTGAAAAGTGGAAAAAGTGTTACATCGAACTTATGAATTATGCGTGTCTTCGTGCTAAATTAGTATTTTCAACTTCTGTTTCAATTTCTGTAAATCGTTCATCTCACCAGGAGCCTCATTTTCATGAAGAACGCATGTAAAATATAATTCAAAATGTTTGATTTGTAAATTGTTTGATTGTTTAACATCCCTTCTAAGAATTTCTCATTCATATTGAGACACCACTACCTGCCGGTGGAGGGCTGCAAGTTTTAAATCTGTACTGAAGATGATTGAACAGCGAGAGATCTTTTTGTGCCATCACTTAATGTGACATAGGACCTCAGTTTTTACGGTCTCATACGAAGGACCTGTCTCTACATCCCGCAGTGGATTCGAACCCGTGATGTAAAAAAAACTCCTTAGTCTGTGACTCTAGAGTATATGCTCTAACCACTGTGCCATGCAGGCGACAATCCAAACCCCCCCCCCCCCCGGAAAGCCACATCACTGGCCATCAGGTACTACCCTTGTCCCGTCTGGGACTAGGTATGCCCAGCACCCTTGCCTCACTAAAAATTGGAGCCTAGTTACGGCCTTGAGTGCATGTCTATAACTAAGAAACCACAAGGTCTATGATGCAACAAGGGATGAACACTCTCAAACTTGCTTCAGATGCTGGATTTCAATTACATTTTCTTGGTGGGTGACTAGTTTGAAGTTTTGGATAAGGCCATACCAATTTCTAATATAGTTCGTCGGATTCGCCGCTTCTATTTTTAACAAATCCAAATTATAATATTAAAAAAATAAATTTCGCGCGCGCGTCCAGAAATATCCGATTTCAATTTTTTTCTCAACTTTTTACACAAAACGCATAGAAGACTTGGAAATTTGTATGACAGAAGCGCGGGATTTAGAGTTTGTTTGTTCTTTTTAGCAGTCTGTGAAGTTTTGCAAGATGCTCGTGTAACTCTTTGTATGTACTAGGGGTGAGCAATTAGCATATCCAAACAACCGGGGCTACCATTTTTGGGGATCAGGCTAGGTGTTTTCTGCAAGGAGGTAGCACGTCGGGCTAGTAAAAAACATATATAAATCTTCATAATCTTATCTGTTTTGTAGTTCTATCTGACTTAATTACTTCCAAAAACGCTCGTTTTTTAGCTCACCTCAACGAAGTTGGGGGAGCTTATGTAATACCCTCGGCGTCGGCGTCGGTGTCGGCGTCGGCGTCCGTGTCGGCGTCGGCGTCCCAGGTTAAGGTTAAGTTTTTTGGAGCAGTTTTCTTTTTAAGTACTTTTATGTCCTATATTGATTAGACATGCATGGAAGATGGTTCTACTGTGTTTCATTGTACCATTCAAAGTTTCAGATGCTGCAGTTTCAGCAAAGGAATGACCAGGTTAATGTTTTTGGAGCAGGTTAATATTTTTGGTGCAGTTTTTGGTGTAGATTTCATTTCCAAGTTACTATAAGCCCTATGTTGACCAAACTTGCATGGATGATACATATAAGGATGCATACTACCGGGCTTGCTTCGGATGCTGAATCTGACCTACATTTTCCGGTTGAGTGAACAGGTTAAAGTTTTTGGTGCAGGTTTCATTTCCAAGTAACTATAAGTCCTATGTTGACCAAACTTGCATGGATGATACATCTAAGGATGGATACTACCAGGCTTGCTTCGGATGCTGAATCTGACCTACATTTTCCAGTTGAGTGAACAGGTTAAAGTTTTTGGTGCAGGTTTCATTTGCAAGTAACTTTAAGCCCTAAGTTGACCAAACTTGCATGGATGATACACCTAAGGATGCACACTACTGGGCTTGCTTCGGATGCTGAATCTGACCTACATTTTCTGGTTGAGTGAACAGGTTAAAGTTTTTGGTGCAGGTTTCATTTCCAAGTAACTATAAGTCCTATGTTGACCAATCTTGCATGGATGATACATCTAAGGATGCATACTACCAGGCTTGCTTCAGATGCTGAATCTGACCTACTTTTTGTGGATGACTGAAAATGTTAGTTTTTAATACATGTTTCATTTCCAATTAACTATGAGCCCTATAATGAGCAAACTTGCATGGACGATACATCTTAGGATGCACACTAATGGACTTGCTTCGGATGCTGAATTTGACATACATTTTTCAGATAATAGACCAGGTAAAAGTTATGGTTGCAGGTCTATTACCAAAAACCTATAAGGCTCATATAACATAGTATAAACCGAACTTGCACAAATGTTGCATCAAGAGATGAAAATCTCAAATTTGCTTCAGATGCTGGATTTTGATTACATTTTCATTAAGAAGAACTAGTTTAAATTTTTTATGTAGGTCTATTTCAAAGTATCAGATCAAAATTGCTTAAATATTTTCATTTTTGGAATGTACACTTTTTTTTTGGTTAATTGTGTGACTTTGCCTTACTTAAAGACAACATTCGTTGAGGTGAGCTCTGTAATCTCTGATTACCTATGTTTTCCTAATCCGAATTTCCTCTATTCCTCCATTTATGGTAAATACATGCAGATGTCTCATTAAATTATTTACGATTATCCAATGAACTGAAAGATAAGTGTTTTATGACTCACATAAAATATATTTCCAGTGTATTTAATGATTTAAGATGAAAACAAAATGATTTTGATTTTATTCTAAATGAGCTAGTGCAATGATCAAGAAAAAGGGAAGATAATTCATTTAAATAATTTTAATTTTTTTTTCATAACAATTTATGCATGATTAATATTGATAGTGAGAACTTTTAACTTTAATTTTAAAAAGAATGACCCCAGTACCCTGACTTTTTCAGCAATTAATTTCTTCTCCAGATTAGTATTTATTTTAATTTTTGCCCCTCTGTTTGGGTAAGTAACTTTTTACTAGGGGCTATTAACTTGAAAGCTGCCACTAGCCTGTGGGAAAGTACTTGATTTTTTTCTCAATTGCACACCCCTGTGTACTATAGAAGAACTTAGAAATTTTTGCCACTAATATTAATTATGTTCGCTCTCCTCATAATTTTGAAAACTGAAAAAATAAATATTTGTAAAATATTTTCGCTCGCTCGCCTCTCTTTTTATTTTTGAAAATCCAAAGAACTATGTTACAAATTGGTGTGGCCTAAGTCTGTTTTCATATAAAACGACAAGCCCTATCAGACCAAATTGTAGAAATGTTGCATCTTTGGATCCACACTTTTAAATTATTAGTTTACTCTGGGGCTTTGCCTTAGTAAAAGACAATATGCATTGAGGTGAGCTCTGTAATCTCTGATTACCTATGTTTTTGCCCTCATTAAAGACACCAACCTAAATTCTTCTCTGGCAGGTCTTTTACCTGATAAAGGGCATGGCATCAAATGTGATTGTCCGGACCTAGATGTAGAGTCATAGACCCCCTGAATTTCTAGGGAGGGGCTCTGCCAACTGATCTTCCCAGGGCAATATCCACAACCCAAACTAGTGCACTCCTCCCTCCTAAAATCATCTTTTACCTTGCTGAGATCTTTTTTTGTCCTGAAAAGAACTTTTAACAGCAATTCCAGTGGATGCAACAATGGTGCCAAATAATTTAACAGGAAGGAAAAAAAAGTATGGAACTTCCTGGCTCTGGTTCCCATATTTTCCCTTCCTGTTGCATGTTTTTGAAAGCCTTGAGTAACGTACACATTGTGCATTATAAATTCTAAATTTTCGATTCATATGCATGAAATTAATTTACAATATGCATTCTAGCTCTTTAGATATTTTACAAATTTACATTATCACATCCGATGTAAAACATGTACTGATGTAAGTTACTTTAATGAGGCCATCTTTGAAAAAAATTGTTCCACTGCCTTCTCCCAACCAACTGGCTAAAAATGGCCCAACTCAAAACTTTTTAATCTCCAGAAAGCAATCTCTTTTATGTATTCTGGAAAATATATTTTAAAAATAAGCATTGAAATTGAAATTTTTTGAGAAAAATAATATTCTTACCTACCTTCCAATCCAACTTTTTTATCTTGAGTCAGGAGAGGGCAAACAAACATTCTTTTAAAGCTTGCCAGATCTTAATTTTGTTATTTTATACTAGACAGTTGAGAAAAATCATCTAACATAGAAATAAACAGAAGATTCTTTTAAATGGTATGAAGCAGCAGGGGGTACCTAAGTTATTGGATTGTTAGATATTTGCCTGTTGTAAGAGAATTACAAGTAAAGTAGCTTGTTTCCATTTTGCAGCATGGGTTCCGAGTCTGACATAGATGAGCTACACAGCTCCATTTTAAGTCTGTGTGAGGAGGACTCTCAAAACAGGACACTTAACCAGACCCTCAACTTGTCTCCCATTAAATCAAATGATAATAGCTGCTTGGATACTCCATCTCACACTGACAATGCTGTTGTTTCATGTTCAGCCAATGAATTTACGCCTTCCCTTGATCCTCGCTCAGACAAAAGATTTTCATTCAGGACTCATAGTACACCATTAATGCCCAAAAAGTTGTGTTCAATTCCCCTGTTATCAGAACCTAAAGAAAAGACTGTCTTGGAGGAAGAGGACACGGACAGAACAGTCTTAGAGCAAGAAGACAAAGAAAAGACTGTCCTGGAGCAAGGGGACACAGATAAAACTGTCATAGAGCAAGAAGACAAAGAAAAGACAGTGTCGGAAGTAAAAGGTGAAGCTAAAGACATCCATGAAATGACCTATGAAGAGCTATTGTCTGAGGTCACAATGCTGTGTGAACTGCCCCGGAATCATTGGTTGAGTTCAGACGGTCCCTCAAAGTTAAAAATGGAGGATTCCATAAAGGACTTGAATCAGACCCAACTAAGCAAAATAGACATGGATAGCATTTTATCTCAGTCTTATGTACAGAGAGATGAGCAGAAGAAAGAGGAAAAACCTGGGAGATTTGCCAGTTTGTCCACTACAACTTCAACAAGCTTAGTTGCTTTAGATGAGGAAGAAGATGTTGAACTTTCGGAGGATATTCTTGGATTGGATGAATACATTTGGAGTGAGTTAGATTCGGATGATGATGTTGATGAAGAATCTTTGTTATCTGGTGAGGAGACGGTAATCGCGGATAAAACACTGAAGAATGACAGAGATGTTACGGCGAAGGAGAAAATAGAATCAAAGACTCCTCCTCCTTCTACATCGGAAAATGATGGTGTGGTTCCAGATGAAACAGGAGACAACAAATTAAAAACTGTTAATACAAGTGAACTAGTCCAAAAGACAAATGTTGATGTCAATAAAAACATTGTTTGTGGTACTCAAAAGAGAAAAGAAAATGATTTTAAAGAAACCCATCCCAAAAAGACAAAACTTTCAGATTCTCATGATACTGAGTTAGAAGAAAAGGATAAAAGGAATCTAGAGAGTGCCAAACCCCAGTCTGATGTAGAATATGTAGTTATCAACTTGCTAGATGACTCAGAATCAGATTTTGAGAAATCTGATCGAGATGAAGAGGAGGCTACTCAGAAAAGAAAGATAGAGACTTCAGTATTAGATAATAAGGCTAAGGTACCAACGATCTGTGTCAGTCCACTGGTTAAACATACTGATGAAAGTGCCGAGGACGCAAGAGATTCTCAAGACAAGGGGGATGAGGAGAAATACCACACACAGTTAAATTACGAGGCAGAGAAGTCTTATTTAAAAAGTGAAAATGAATTGACAAGGAGTGTGATGAGAAAGTGGAATTCCAATGGAATCCATAATCCTGATAAAAATCTGACCCACGCAACTACTCTCAGGAAAAAGGCCAATGGCATGAAAGGGCGATTGGAAGGATTTCACTTATCTACCCTTCATGGAGATAGCAATGGGGCAGATCCATATATGAAAAGTCATGTGAATACGAGATCTTTGGCAGAAAATATTAACAAATTGAGAATGGACATGAATGACTTGGAGCATTATTATTATAACAGACTTCTAGAGATGAAGTGTATCTTCCATGCAAAGATGGATGATCAAATTGATCGGAATAGGAATCGCATTCGACACTTACGAATTCAACAGGAAATGGAGGCGAGAGCTGTTCATTATCAGCACTTTGATCTGATGATTAAACAGTGTAAACTCATGCAGTTGAAAATGGACCATCAGGCACAAATGAATCACATGAAGTGTGTTGCTTTCAGTGAAGAACAAGCCGTGCAAGATGAATATTCACAGAAAGTGCAGTTGGAAAGGATGAGGTATGAGGAACAGCACAACAAGTTGTCTTCCCTTGTGAATCAGTTAACTCAGCGGGAATTTGAGGGGAAGGATGACCAGTTTGGACCTCACATTATGGTGGATCTCATCAAGGCCCCGTGCAGGGATAACAATGAGAGCAAGTCTCTTGTCTCTGTGTGTTTACCTTTGGACATTGCAAATGCTATGATAAAAGAGGATGAAGTTTATGAAAGATTTTATGAGTACTAGTATTAGATGTAAGGGAGATGAATTTACTCATAGTGGAGAACTGTAATTTTAAATATTAAGCTGGTAGTTATTTTAAGCTCACTTGAACCTCAGCTCAAGTGAGCTTTTCTGATCAGCATTTGCCTGGCTATCTATCCATCATTCTGCAGAAAATTTGATTCATTGAAGAAACACTCCTTTTAGGAAGGAGAAAATTTAGAAACAGAATTTGGTGCCATTAAAAAAAAAAATCTTATGAACCACTTGTCTGTAAAAGACAAAACTTAAGTAAAAACTTTTTTTGAAGTTTAGATTAATTTATTTTAAATTGATGACCTCTGGGTTAGGTTGGGGCCACAATAGTGGCAATCAAAAGTCTTCATGGGAGATGCTTGATCTTTAAAAAAAATCCTTAGAAATGTGCAAATGCAACCATCCACTGGTAGTTTGTTCAAATGAAGACGTTTTATATGAATTATTTTAAGTAAAAATTTACAAAGTGTAGACAGATTAAAAATATGCATGTTAGGTCATTTGATCCATGTACAAGCATTTGAATCAATGATATCACCATATTTATTTGCCATTAACTAAGATTATTAGCTCACCTGAGCTGAAGGCTGAAGTGAGCTCTTCTGATCAAAATTTGTCCGTTGTCTGTCGTTGCAGTTATCGTTGTCATAAACTTTTCACATTTTCATCTTCTTCTTAAGAACCACGGGCCATCTTCAACCAAACTTGCCACAAAGTATCCCTGGGTAAAGGGGATTCAGGTTTGTTCAAATGAAAGACCAAGCCCTCTTCCAAGGGGAGATAATTATGAATTAATGATAAATTAATGGTATCTTTTAAAAATCTTCTTGTCAAGGACCATTGGGCCAGGAAAGATGAAACTTGTGTGGAAACATCCTCAGGTAGTGTAGATTCAAGTTTGTTCAAATCATGACCTCCAAGGCTAGGGTGGGGCCACAATGGCTGATCAAATTTTTACATAGGAATATATAGGAAAAATCTTTAAAAAATCTCCAAAACCATTGGGCCAGGAAAGATGAAACTCGAGTGGAAGCATCCAATGGGAATGACAATGGGAGATCAAATACATGTATCTTCTTTTCAAGTATGGCAAAATTATACATACATGTATATGCTTATTGATATAGTGACATTCTGAAGTACATTGTAATAGAAAATTCAACACCCCCCTCCCCTATCAAGTAAACTTTTCAATACTTAGCTGAGTTGTGTTTTTTTAACTAGCCCATGAGTGATATTGCCCATTGGCCTCTTGTTTATCTTGTATGAGCATTGTGGCTTACAGGTCTCATTTTCATGAAATGTTGAGAGAGAAAATTACAATGCAGTCCCTAGACTTGCTACAGGTACTATGAAGTGAGACTTTCTCTTTGAAACTGCATGAATGTTTAAAATAGGACAATTCTCAGGTAAGCCTAAACTTTCAGTAAGGTGTGGCATTCTTGGTGCAGTGTAATTAATTGGTAAATAGATTCTCATTGGTTAAGAAACTAATAATATCAGGAACTTTAAATTGTCAACAATGATGTGGCTACTTAAGCCCCGCCTCTGTGCCGTGCGAGAACTTTTAATTGGCTATTTGCTACACTGACATTCAACAGTGAAGGAAAGCTGTGTAAATTTCAGAAGATAATTATTTAAAGTTGAGAACTTACTGAAAGTCCAAGCTTATCTGAAAATTGTAATAAGCATAAATTCCCTTCTGGTTTCACAGTCATGAATACAAGGAGAAAAATTTTTCTTCAAAATTTTATTCTTCTTTACTAACAAATCTTTTTTTTTTGTCTCTTCATAAAAAATATTTTGTAAGAAATAAAATTCAATATAGTTTAAAAAGAACCCATATAATCTCCAAAAAGCCTTAAATTATGTGTTATGTACATACCATTTTACCATGTTCAAGTTCAAGTTCAGTTTATTCTCCCAAAACCAAAATATTGGTACATGGGGTACAGTAAAACATATATACATTTTAAACAAACTGGTCAGAGGTACAAAAAATATAATATATACAATACAAAATGTTACAAAATGAAGAAAAAATGAAAAAAGAGGGAGAAACAGACAAGTAACATATTAAGGAGGACAGGTAGCGTCATAAATTTTTAGAATAAACATACATAATTTTTTCAGAATTTGTTCGTTTTGAGTTGACATAAGTTCTGTAAATTTAATAATATTTGGTCTACTGGAATAATAATTACCTAGGTATTTTTTCCTTTCATTTTCCAAAGCTTTGCATTCTAGAATGTAATGAAATTCATCAGCAATTTGACCTTTACTACAAAGTGTACAAAGTCTTTCAGAAAGTGGTATACCACACCACACCATGCAATATGGCATTCTTTATTGTAGTTTGTTGGTCTGTGTAACACTTTTCAATTCAAATTTCTAAAATGATTTTGAGTTTTTGAATGTTGATATATTAGTTCATATTTCTAACTTTCAAAAACTGAAACTGATTTGGTATTTTGAAATTTAGTATTTTAGTTCAAAAATCTGAATTTCCAAACAGGTTTTAGTATTTTAGATTTTTACCTTAAATATTCAAAAATTCAACTTTCCAAAAATAAATTTTGTATTTTAAACTTTTGAGTTTTTAATCTACTGTTTCTTCAGAAAGTTTACACTTAACAATCTAAAATTCAATAACATTCTTTGTCTTTTGATTATTTGGAATTTACTTCAAACTTCCCAACTTTTAGATTTATAGAAATTTAGAATTTTGATTCAAACACTCAACTTTTAAATAACGAAAACACTTTTGCACATTTTGAGTTTTTAGAAGTTTACTTCAAATATCCAAAATATCAAATTCCATACCTGGTATATATTTTGGATATTTAAAGTAAAATTCTAAAAACTCAAAGTGTTTAGGTTATTTGAAAGTAGAACATTTGAAATAAAATTCCAAATTTCTAAAAATCTAAAACGTTTCAGAGTTGGATTTTAAAAGTTTAAAGCTAATTTCAAAAAAATCAAAAGACGAAAAATATTCCCGAACTTAAGATTGTTAAGTGTAAACTTTCTGTACAAACGGATGACTAAAATCTCAAACGTTTAAATCCCAAAAATCGTTTTTGGAAATTTGAATTTTGACCATTTAAGGTAAAAATCTAAAATATTAAAATTATAAAACCTGTTTGGAAATTTGAAATTTTAGATTAAATTTTTTAAACTAAAATATTGAATTTCACATTCTAAAACTCAAAACCATTTTAGAAATTCGAATTTTTAAGTGTTTCACGGACCTTTGTTCCTTCTTTGTTTGCTTTGGAAGAATAAAAAAATAAACATAAGGCATTCATTATTTTTTGTGTATTTCTTTTACTAGCTAGAATATTCCAAACCCAAATATTGTTGCACATAGAAGAACATGTAATGAGTCAGACCCTTTTGACTAAAGCAAAATGATATATAATGTTTGAATGAAATTCAATTGTGCTCAAGAGTTATGGTTGGTAAAGCAAATTAAAATTTGTGAGAGAGAAATAGAATTTGCAGCAAGCCTTGTTCATAAAGACAGCCTGTCTGTTAACAAATAAAAAATAAAAATTAAAAAAAACCCTGCATTTCCATTTGATGTATATACTAGTATTTGGACATGTACTTTTTGTTGTATATAATGCTAACATAAAAGTGTGTAACTACTTTGCACTTGTGCATTCATTTTAATAATATTTTCTTTTTTGAGGGGAGGGGTATATTCTGTACTTCAGAGTTGTTGCCCATTCAATGACATTGAGGAAGGAAAAGGAAGGACAACTGTTGATGCTTTGATCCATTTAGACATTCAATCCTGTAAATTTAAAATTAATGATAGGTTCTTTCAGATGTTTACGTATGATAATTTTGTTAACAGTAATACATTATGAGAACTGGAGATTTATTGACGAAAGTGTCATTAAATACAATGGCATTAACACAATAACATTTTAGAAATGTTGTGGAAGGAAAACACATTAAAAGCCGTTTGTGTAAATTCTCAGGGACTGTTTTGAAAAAAAAGTTGTCCATGATCTAATTAGAGACCCAATTTGAGTGATTAAACTCAATCCCCTTCCATTGCAGTAACAAATTGTAAAATAAAATACTGAGTATTACTACAGCATATGTAAATAAGTTGAAAAAGAGGAAGTTATATTTGGAAAGTGTTTTCTGTTCGTAAAAGGAATCAAAGTCCAAAATAGAAAAAAGGCATTAATACAAAGTATCCAAAGTGTCGTATCTACAGGCAAATTAAGTATATTATCAGCTAAAATCTTTTTAATAGCATAAGTCAGTATATCTGAAGTCAGAACGTACACGTTCAAATATGCTATTTTTGTCTCTGTTTAACAGTTTAAGTTTCATGTTATGTTTTCCTACAAAGTGTATTGCATTAATTGCCACTTCACACTTTAGAATCGAATCTTGGGTAAATTTTACTCCTTTATGTGACATTTCCCGCGAAATCGCGCACCGACTCCTTAGCATCATGTAACTATGGACACGACGCTGCCTTGTCGTTATGGATGTTACTCCGCGATAAAAGTTCAATAGACGTTCATTGTAAATCAATTATATTACTTTCATTTAAGACTTTATCCTGTGCAAACATTTTCATAACCTTTACTAAGCAATTTCATTGGTTTTAAACTGTATTGGATTAAATTTCAAAGACGCACAAATATTTTGTAAGTGCGACGTATTCATACGCGCTACCGGAAACGGTCTGTTACTTGTGAAGTTGTGAAGGACGGGATGTCGCCCGTCTGATCAGTAGATCGTAGAGTTAGTATTTAGGATTACTTTACTTTAGCAGTTTTTTAACGATGGAGGGTACAGAGCAACAGGATGGGGGACCAAGTGAAAAGGAGTCCACTAAGCCCCCCAGTCCAAAGCCTGACCAAGAAGTGGCACCCCCTTTGATTTCAAAAGGTAGGCCTAGGACTCAGCATGCAGATATATTGGACCCCCTTGAAGATTTTGTAAATGCTATCTTTTAAGTACTTTCATGGCTTATTAAAGTTAATTAAAATTCAGAAAATGAGGAATATTGTTTCTAAAACCAAAACTTTTTTGTTTAAAAATTTTATTGTTTTTCTTTAAAACTGAATTGAACTTTGAATCTGCCCATGATCGATTCCTCTTAAAAGTTTACATATCTTGATATATATGAAAGAGGTTAAGTTCTATTTAACAGAATTTTTCAACATTACATTTAATTAGCATCGGCTTCAAGCGATTTCTTAACATATGGATACTCAGATGAAAGTTTCAGTAATGTTATAGGTATGTGAGAGATTGGGATGGTGAGGGACTCCTAAAAAAGAGGACAAGTTTTGTGGGAGCAATTAAGTGTTCTGACAAAAGTTTTTGGTATTTGTCACAGTGGTACAGTATTTAGTATGTGTTCACAATAGTACATGAATTTGGTTACATCTCGCATAGATCTCTTTGATACTCAAGGTTATGAAGTAAATTGCACATGGTGAATGTAATTCTGAGGGTGGTGAGAATTAGTTTGGCTGTGATAAATTATATCATTGTATAGGAATTGCTCTGAAAGGGAAAACCTCATCTCACTTAGACAGTGTACACATTCAGTAATTTAAGCATTTTAGTGTTTCTATGTTGGGATATCTACAGCACACAAAATATTGCCAGTCTGGCACAATTTTTTTCTTTGATCCATCTTTCTTAGATGAATAATTTATCATATACTTTGAAATTTGATAGGAAAGTTCCTCAAAACATGCAAACACAACATAAATTACAAACCCTTACTGATTTGAATTTTCCTTTCATTAGGAGATGAGAAAAAGAAACCACCAGCAAAACAGGCAGCGCAGCCGAAGGTAAACATATTTTAAACATGTACATATTCTAGCAATGTTTCATTTGTAACTTTCCTCTTTGAGCAGTTTATATATTTTACGTTCATTGTAACTATTTCCCAGGTTACGCAGCAGAAGAAGAATGTTCTCAGCAGTGAGGCCATGAAAGAAATGCAGAAGCGGGCCAAACAGAACCGCGAGGAAAGACAAATGCAGGTTCGTAAAGGACTACAATTTACAATAAAACAAAGACAAATGCAGGTACGTAAAGGACTGCAATTTACGATAAAACAAAGACAAATGCAGTTACCTAAAGGACTACAATTTACGATAAAACAAAGACAAATGCGGGTACACAAAGGACTACAATTTACAATAAAACAAAATCATCATGTAGTCAATAGAGAAGTTAGATGCAATTTATTTCATTCGTTGCAATTAGGATTAAAGGCAAAAGTTAAAAATTCTGTATTTAAAATCATACGTAAGAGTTACATTAGGTTTCAGTTATGTCATTAAGTTTTCTTTATACAGTGACTAATAGTTAGTGATTTTCATAATAACATTAATTAATAATTTGTATTGAAAAGTAACAAAGACATACCATTAGACACAAAACGTCCAGTAAATTTTAGCATTTCATTTACTTGGTATCAGAATTGTGTTAGAATTGGTCCTTTTTTGGTGGTGAAATCTTAAAATTAATACCGTTCTAAAGTTTGAGAATTTTCCATGGTAAGAAAAAGTTAAGCTGCGTGACTTCACAATATATGCACATTTCAGCTCCTTTTCAGTTAAGTCAAGATGGGCGAACACAAATTATCTATTGAATTTAGGATGAAAAATAAGAAGGTTGAGTGAATTTATGTCTGCCTTTAGCAAAAGAGATTGACAATGTATGAGCAATAGTGAGAATATAATGCTGAGTATATATTGTACCCGCGTGCTTTGGAAAGTTAAATGTTTTACCAATCAATATCAATATTCTTTTGTTGATCTTAACAACGTCTTTATGGTAAAATTAATTCCGTCACTAAAGCTGTTTGAAGTCGGCAGAAGCAAGGGCTTACTTGCATATCCAATAACATAAAAAAAAAATCAAGAATGATTATTACAAATCAGTATTGAAAGACCAGATTGTAGTCTGTCTAGATTTTGTTTGCAATTGATTGTGTTAAACTCTTAGTCAATATTTACCCTCTTTTTTAAACCAAGAAAAGACTGTTATATATGAAGTGTTAATTTACCTCAGTTATACAGAAAATGTCTATAGTTAGACTATATGGGAAACATCCATGAAAGTGAACATTCATTTGAAAATTAAATGGAAATTTTTCTTGTTTTTCATTATACAAACATTTCATGCATAGTTGTTTTTGATTTGGTTTTAGGGGTCTTTAAGTTCGGTTTCTGATCAACATGTACCACTTCTTTCTTTAAGACATTTATAATAGGTGGTGAAATTAAATGCCCCATATTTAATGGCATTTTTTTTCAGTCAGTAGTGTATAAAATTATTTCTATAGTATGAAAGTGTATAAGTTCGATAGAATTACATGCTTTACTGCTTTTCACTCATTTGGATTGGAAAAAGGAACTTTTCTAATTATAGGGGATTTAAAGAGTGATCTTAAAAAAATGACTTGTATTTCTTCTTTTATGTTCATAAAATTTCAACCTCTTCTTAGTTTTGGATAAAAATAGTTATAAAATTGGCATTAATTAGATACTTAACATGAATTTTCTATAGATGATCTACCGTCCTATATTAATAAGTAGTTTACCAAAATATATATCAAATGAAAATGAAGCACTCGGCTATTAAGTAATTGAAGTGATTGACATGTCGTTTTACCGTAAGATCCATTCCATTATGACTCTAAAAATAGGATATTGACCATCTTTGTCACTAAATTAAAAAAATTGATTCTGTTATGAAAAGTCGTAAGAAGAATTTATATTCAGTATATATAGGGCTCCCGATTTTTCATAATTAGGGCTAATCAAAAGCCACATTCTTAATCTGAAAAAGGTAGCGCTTTCTCCAGTTGCATGTTTTCATTTTCCCAATAACTAAATCTTTGGGAAAATTTTAAAAAGGACCAAATATTAAAGAAAATGAAGGGACTGTTTGTGTTAGTTTGATATATACATTATTCAGCTAAAAAGTATAGGTGTGAGAGCTCTGGAGATTTTCAGAGCCAAGGAAACAAAGTATGTAGAAAGTGAGAAAATGTATGAATTACTCATAAGTTATGAAAAAAATAGTAACGAGTTAGTCACATTTTAATTTTTATGTTAACAATGATGTCATTGGATTATAAGATTTTGTTATAAAACAAAGAAGGATGAGTGTAATTCTGTGTAAATGCCAACCAGCAGGAGGTAGCTGTGGGCTGATAAAGCCTTAGCTGGTGTATGAACTCTCCGAAGGCCCCCGTCTGTTGTAACGTAGTCATGGACACAACCCTTTATCAATCTTTTTAAATGCTTTGTAGACATGTGCATTAGATGGCATCCCTGACAAGTTCTATACACTCTACAGTAATATTTTAATCTGCCTTTTGTTTTGTCTTAAATCTGCTGTGGATTTTAAAAAACTTGGGCTATACCCCTCGATTAATTCTGGAACTGAAAATCTGTTGATCAGAACTCCTAGTCATTGTGTTGCAATAAAATAAAGATTAGGGTTTTTAAGAGACTTATATTTTAAATGTGGATAGCATGTTTTTCAGACATAGGGATTGAATTTCATATGATACCTTTTAAACTGATAGGGCTGTATTGAATGCTTGGCTAATCGGACACTGGTACTCAAGTCTCCTCTGTTTGCCAGCCTGTAATGTCAGTCTTGAAGTAATTGATCAAAATTCTTTTAAAGTATATAATCTGATCAGTTATTTTCCTTGGAAATATATTTTATCTTGATTATCTGGATACATATAAAAGAAGAATTAAATTCCAATATTTATTTTTAATAGGAAAAAAAAAGTCACTCACTATAATGAGCATGGTATTTCATTAACAAACAAAACTCATCAAAACCCTCTTTTGATTTAAAAATAAAAAGCAATTGTATGTTTTGCATGAAGTGGTCAATTTCATAAACATTAAATTTTAACTCCAAAAGTAGATATTTTGTGTAGTACAGAGTATTGTCTCTCACTATTTTGTTGGGGAGAGTATCGTTTTCAATTGGTATTTCTTGGTGCTTTTTTATCTTCAGATCCTTACATTACAAGATATCATAAAGTATTAGATAATTTGATAAATGACAAGAAAGAAAACTTGACAACAGTCTGTCAGAATTCCCATGGGTACCAATTGTGCCCCATTATTACCAGACCTATTTGTGCATTCGTATTGAGCAGGATTTATTCAAAATTTTATATATGAGAAAACACTTGATGTGGCCTTCAACTTCAATTTAGATATATCAGTGACAAAAAGTCTATTAATAATAGCTACTTTCAGACAACTAATTTTTGTTCTGATTACTTGCTCGTACTTAGTCCTCTCTCAGCCTTTAGCAATAAGGCCTGCACCAAGGTCTGCCATTATTTTGTGTCTGCTGACAATTCTACTTAATGACCAGATAATTTTCTTCTGAGAATCAAATTAAATCTTCTACATAAAAAAATTATTAAGAATGCTATGTAAACTAGTTCAATAAGTATTTTTTGGCCTGTTTGCAAACCAGTTATATTAGATACTTCTAACTCTTTAGTGAGTTGATTAGCTCTGTAGTATGTTTATAATATCTAATGTTCAACACAAACAACACTACATCACTTAAAGTTGAGTTGTGTATTCTATGTAGGGTCTTGTCTTTTTCAGTGTGATGCCAGGCACCAGCACATGTTCCAGCAGTTGGCCACGGCCCTTAATCTGGACGTCAGTGCCGTGGAGGACTTCCTCTTCGGTGATGAGCGGGTGAGAAATTTCACATCAAGCACTCTGTATCACTTAAAGTGAATACATTTTCTTGTAAGATTGTTCATTTAATAGAACTTCCAAATTTTCCAAAACATTGATCAAACTGTGATTTTAAATTCAGTGAAAAATATGGGAGATAAAAAAGAAAAATCAATTAAATTTTAATAAAATTTTCCTGCAATCTGACACCAGAGGCTGTTGTTAATTAAATTATGAGACAGACTACAAGAATACCAAATAATCCTCAGGATTTGTATGAGAATATATGACTTTGATCGTTATATATGATAAAGTTTTTGAAAACATGTACTGCATATACAGCTGAGATATATTAGTATAAACTGTGTCATAAATTTTGGTCAATAACTGTTTACTTGTAAATCCAGTGAAGAGGAAAAAGTATAAATATTGGTGTATATTAGCAGTATAATCAGCTGTTCAAGTCTGGGGTGTTGTTGTGTGCTCAGCTCTCGTCTCGAGATAGTTAATAAAACAAGTCCTCAGATCACCTACAAATGTTGTTCTTTGAGGTCGTCTTATAGGTAGATAATTCTACTGTGTAAGTGATATATTGTGCGATTCATATTGACCATGAGAACTTCTTCAACATATTAGTTTGAGAGTTATCTGATTGGGCTCGGTAATCAGACAATCAAGTAGTGGACCAAACTGTCGCAAATAACTTGGGTCAATATTTACCCTGTGACACTTGAAAGGCCCTGTGTATACCTACCTGGGTATAGGTGTATTAAATCTGGGTTTAAAGCTGTTAAACATTTAGTGCTTATAACTGCTATAAGGTTGAAATTGATACATTTCACTTGTTCATATTTACTTTTCTATCATTAGTTGTTTGCAGTAGAGCTTTGTGTGAAATACACATAATTGGTTAGAATGTAGAGGGTTAAATATTTGCAGCAAATTTGACATGTTAAGGATTTTAAAGAATGACACTTCTAGTAGCCTGCATCATAAATCAAAAGAAAAAAAAATCTTAATTTAACCACACATGTAATTTCAAACTTCAAATTTAAATTTGAATTAAAATTCTAAATTTGCTTCATTCTTACCCTTTCTGGATTAGTTTAGAATTGATTGTTTATTAATGTATAGACGTGTTTCCTGTATATTAAACTATTGAAAGGGCAAAAGAGAACAAACAATTCTCTTTCTATCGGTAAAATTTAGAATTACTTGATAAACAAAGAACTTTGTTGAAAATTTTTTTTTTTTAAATCAATTAAAGTAACTTTCATATTTTCCTTGCAGTTTGACATGATTGAACCATTCTTCAAAGAAAATGGAACAAGGAAATTGATTTTCTTTTATCAAGATGCAGTAAGTGTACTTATCAAGAAAATTCAGCTCAATTTATTTATGATATTTTGGTGAAACTTTTTGTAGAACAGTACAAACCTGATTCAACACCAAAGCAATCCATTTGACTGTACTAAATTTCCATATTCCCTTATTTTAATTTCTGTTTTACTATTTTCTATGTTGTGACACCCTGTCTATTCCATCACAAAATTTGTTCTGCAATACATGTTGGAAAAGACAGGTTTCTCTGTACATCTCAATATGTTATAATAATTCTATCTTTTTTTGTCTTTAGGGGAATGGTCAGAAGAAATTGTTTTTGACACCAGGAGATGCAGAGGTAAATGTTGTCCTAATTGCTGTAATTACAAATTTAAATTTGATGTGATTTTGAAGTTATAGAAACAAAGATATCTAAGGCTTTTTGATGGAAAAGTTCTTTCAATTTGGAAAAAAGCACATAGGCAAAGTATTCTTTTTAATTCTAAATCAGAGCAAACCAGTCAACCTAATTTTTTCCTGAGAAATCAATATTTTTTTCATACCAATTTTATTTATTATTAAGAGCCATTGAATATATCAATCTCTGAGATGATGGTTAACTCGAATCAAAAGTTAGGAGCACTTGAACTGTTTATCAACTTGGGGGGCTGATATTGGGAATAATTGATGAAGTTGACTGCATGAATAGAAACTCTGACAAAGAGTATAACCAAAGTCATGTTTGCTAGTATCAGTTACTATTAAGGATACAATTTACCACAGATAAAGTGCTATTATAACTCTCATGTTAAGATATTGACATGTTATTCCATGTCTGTGGCATCCGGTAGTGGAATTAAGCACTTTACCATCACTAATGCATTGTGGACCAACTAGAGCCTTAAAATGGATTTATATTGATTCCTTAGTTTTAGTGGAGACAGAGATATGGTAGAGATAAGACCAAAATATTTTTTTTCACATTTTATTATTGTCTAAGAATAAATCAAAGAAACAAATAAGCCCCTGAGAAATGTGAGATTGTTCACAAGTCTGAGTTGTTAGGGGAGGAGAATGTGATTTTTATCAACACCACGGGGTAGACAGAATATTGATATTTTCCCTCTCCTTACCGTGACCACTGATAATCAATACCGGACTAAATACCTGATGTAAAGACTTCAGGTGAAGGACCAAATAAATTATAAATTACATCCAGCCCATTCAAAGAATGTTATTGAAACCGACGCTGATTTGTTGTTAATTACACTGCGGCTTAACATGCAATCTAATTGCAGGCAGAAAAGGTATAAGCGAGATTTATTGGCAATTTAGAACCGTAGCTGTGACTTTTCTGTCCTTATCTGAAATCATGTAATGAGTCTGTCGGCTTATGTAACAAACCCAGAATTGTTTTTAATGCATAAAATTAGAAAATTATAAAATAAAGACAATTTTGATTTATTTAGTAGGAAAAAAGTGTAATATTTGTTTAATCTCTGAGAGAATTCAAAGACAATAAAAAAGACTTATTGGTAGTACTGAGCAAGGAAGTACATGAACATTATGTTAAAGGTTTTTAGCTCACCTCAACGAAGTTGGGGGAGCTTATGTAATACCCTCGGCGTCGGCGTCGGTGTCGGCGTCGGCGTCCACGTCGGCGTCGGCGTCCCAGGTTAAGGTTAAGTTTTTTGGAGCAGTTTTCTTTTTAAGTACTTCTGTGTCCTATATTGATTAGACATGCATGGAAGATGGTTCTAGTGTGTTTCATTGTACCAGTCAAAGTTTCAGATGCTGCAATTTCAGCAGAGGAATGACCAGGTTAATGTTTTTGGAGCAGGTTAACATTTTTGGTGCAGTTTTTGGTGTAGGTTTCATTTCCAAGTAACTATAAGCCCTATGTTGACCAAACTTGCATGGATGATACATCTAAGGATGGATACTACCAGGCTTGCTTCGGATGCTGAATCTGACCTACATTTTCCGGTTTAGTGAACAGGTTAAAGTTTTTGGTGCAGGTTTCATTTCCAGGTAACTATAAGCCCTATGTTGACCAAACTTGCATGGATGATACATCTAAGGATGCATACTACCGGGCTTGTTTCGAATGCTGAATCTGACCTACATTTTCCGGTTGAGTGAACAGGTTAAAGTTTTTGGTGCATGTTTCATTTCCAAGTAACTATAAGCCCTATGTTGACCAAACTTGCATGGATGATACATCTAAGGATGCATACTACTGGTCTTGCTTCGGATGCTGAATCTGACCTACATTTTCCGGTTGAGTGAACAGGTTAAAGTTTTTGGTGCAGGTTTCATTTCCAAGTAACTATGAGCCCTATGTTGACCAAACTTGCATGGATGATACATCTAAGGATGGATACAACCGGGCTTGCTTCGGATGCTGAATCTGACCTATATTTTCCGGTTGAGTGAACAGGTTAAAGTTTTTGGTGCAGGTTTCATTTGCAAGTAACTATAAGCCCTATGTTGACCAAACTTGCATGGATGATACATCTAAGGATGCATACTATTGCTTCGGATGCTGAATCTGACCTACATTTTCCGGTTGAGTGAACAGGTTAAAGTTTTTGGTGCAGGTTTCATTTCCAAGTAACTATAAGCCCTGTGTTGACCAAACTTGCATGGATGATACATCTAAGGATGGATACAACCGGGCTTGCTTCGGATGCTGAATCTGACCTACATTTTCCGGTTGAGTGAACAGGTCAAAGTTTTTGGTGCAGGTTTCATTTCCAAGTAACTATAAGCCCTATGTTGACCAAACTTGCATGTATGATACATCTAAGGATGCATACTACTGGGCTTGCTTCGGATGCTGAATCTGACCTACATTTTGCGGTTGAGTGAACAGGTTAAAGTTTTTGGTGCATGTTTCATTTGCAAGTAACTATAAGCCCTATGTTGACCAAACTTGCATGGATGATACATCTAAGGATGCACTCTACCGGGCTTGCTTCGGATGCTGCATCTGACCTACATTTTCCGGTTGAGTGAACAGGTTAAAGTTTTCATCAAGAGATGAAATTTCTCAAATTTGCTTCAGATGCTGGATTTTGATTACATTTTCATGAAGAATAACTAGTTTAAATTTTTTATTTAGGTCTATTTCAAAGTATCAGATCAAAATTGCTTAAATATTTTCATTTTTGGAATGTACACTATTTGTTGGTTAATTGTGTGACTTTGCCTTACGTAAAAACAACATTCGTTGAGGTGAGCTCTGTAATCTCTGATTACCTATGTTTATTTTTTCTACCCAATGTTTTCCCAGAGAAATAGATATTGAAAACATTATATTTTAACATGTTTAAAGACAAGTTTCTTTTATTTTTACAGGGACTTCATGGCATATGTTTGTACTTCCTAAGAACAACAGCAAAAGCCATCACTCCCCAGAACATTGCACAGGAAGTCAACTTTGGAATGGTGGATGCCACAGGAGGAAATGTCCTCAACAGCATGGAGAAGTACCTCTCCAAAATCATACTACCTGCCCTCAAGTCCCTGGAGGCCTGGGGCACCATCTCAATGCCCTCCAATGAGGAGAATGCCGAGAAGAAAACGGCCCCCCAGGTGGATGAATTTTTGGAACATTTGGAGAATTTCATCAGTAGCCTTCTTTCTGCTGTTGACAATATGGAGGGGCAGGTAACTCTGGCTGAGAATGGAATTGGACACGTGGTGGATACGTTTGCTTCTCCCCAGGATTATCAAGCTGCAGGTAAACATGGAAACACGGAACACTTATCTTCGTCATGAAACCTGATTCTTTAAAATCTAGTTGAATCATTTTTATTGAGAAATCTATCAATTCATTTAAATTATTTTAGAACTTAAAAAATCCAATTATTTTCTCATTTCCATTATATACATGTTTTGATGCAGTAGAGAATAAACTGATAAATCTAATTTAGTAAATTTGTCATCAAACATTATCATGTCATATGAAATGTACTGTGATTTTGTGCTTTAGCTGCCAACACTGAGTACCTGGAGAAGTTTGAGAATCTGTTGTCTACATGGTCCAAACAAATAGAGCAGGTGTTGGCTGAGTCTGAGCAGATGAGGAGGGAGGCAGACGACATCGGACCAACAGCTGAGTTAGCCTACTGGAAGAGCAGAATGGCCAAATTCAACAAGTATGACAATAATCATTGATGTTTTGCTCATAAAAAATTTCAAATTGAGCCTTTTGAAGAGGTTAAGTTGTAGACTGTTTGGAATTATTTTGCTAATAAAATTTTAGAAAAAATGACATTAATGTGTTGTTGCAGCTTGCTTGAGCAGATGAAAAGTCCAAGATGTAAGGCAGTAGTTGGTGTACTACAAGTTGCCAAATCCAAGTCACTCCGCAGATGGAAAGAACTGGTAACAGTTTAACAAGCATATTCAGAAACTTTAATTTAAACATCAATGAATCTTATTATTTGAGGGAATATAAGAATTGCAATCTTTGAAAGTAATTTATTTAACAAGTAATTTTCACGTCAGTGTATGTTTTAATGATGTTTTTCAGGACGGTCAGATTACAGACACAGCTAATGAAGCTAAGGACAATGTCAAATACCTGTATACACTGGACAAGTTCTTTGGTCCATTGGTCAAATGCACACCTGTAAGTCCATAATTTATATGACTGAAATTAAAAAAATCATTGAAACTACATGTGTCCCCATCACATAGGCTGGTAAATCATGTCATAGTGTTATATAGGACTTGATGTATTAATATGTTTTTTTTTAAGGCCACCATGGTAGAACATATTCCTAGTCTGATGAATGCCATCCGAATGATCTACAGTATTTCTCAGTATTACAACACCTCAGAGAGAATGACCTCCCTCTTTGTCAAGGTCACTAACCAGATGATCACCACCTGTAAAGCCTACATCATGCACGACGTCAGCAAAATATGGGATATCCCTAGGTAGGCTTCCAGCAAAAATATCAGTGAATCATTTTGGTGTATGTCCTGCAAAAGTTATCAGTATGCAATAATTTTTCTCACAAGGCATGATTTAAATAAATATGCACCTGAGTGAATATGATAAAATAAGAATTCACATGTTTTATTTTCATTCTCTCTCAATCATAAAATGGTTGATTGCTTCATCTTTATATGCTATGTACATAACTTATGAACTCAATGAGACTTCTGTTTCACACCTCACTGATATTCCAATGTTGATATATTTGCAAACTGTTGTTTAATTTGTTCAATTATCATTCAATTTAAATTTAGTTTCAGAAGCATGTGTGTTTATAAATATAAGTTGCCTGGGCCTTGTAATGTTATAATTTTATTTTTGCAATTATTTTCCTTTAATATATCATTAAATTTTTCTTTTTATGATTTTAAATAACTGTTGTTAATTTTGCAGACCAGTTTTGCTGCAGAGACTGAATGAATGTATTCAGCTGAATGAAGAATACCAGAAGCAGTTCCAGAGGACTAAGGAAAAGCTCCGAGAGAATCCGAATGAGCGTCAGTTTGAGTTCAGTGAGAACTACATTTTTGGTAAATTTGACACTTTCTGTAAGAGACTGGAGAGAATCGCGGACATGGTCAACACGATGGAGATGTTTTCTGGACTGCACGGTGTGAAGATCGAGGGCATTGACACCATCGCGGTGAAGTATAAGACCATTGTGGACGCTACCAAGAAGAAGAACTACAATATACTGGACCACAGGAAAGCCGAGGTAAGAACAAGGGTTAAGGGAGACAACTTTGATATTTCTTTGGTTTTGTACAGAGTAATATTCAGAGCCTCAAGAGATTAAAAAAAATACAAAGCATCCCTACCAAAAAAAAAAAGCCCACACAAAATTCCTCTGTTTCTGTTATCTGAATATATTGTTTTTCCAATGTAAATTCCTTACATTTTCATTAGATTACAAATACGTGTATATTTCAATTTTTTAATATTTTTGTGTTTGTGTTTTTCAGTTTGATGTGGATTACGTGGAGTTTCGCAGTCAGATTGATGCTTTGAGAGCCAACATTCAGAATTTCATGGATTCCTGGTTTTCACGATCATTAACTGTAAGTTGCTGCAAAATAATATAAAACTCTATGACCATAATGTCAAAATCGAGATCATCCATTAATATTATTGGCATGTATATGTATAGTCCTGGTCTTTACGTATCAGTTTTAGAATCCATTCTGGAGCCAGAAAGAAAGGGACTTCATTGCTTTGTTTAACTACCTGATTTTGAATTTTGTGTACAGATTTATTGTCTTTAATTAAATGTAACCAGGGAGTCAGGGTAAGTTATATGTAGTCCTTGCCTCGGAAAATGAGTATTCTGATAAACATATGAATGTGTTTGCTAAATTTGTTGTTAATATACATGACAAATTTCTCTGAAATCTTTCTCTTATCTGAAACTTGTGTAGTAAAATAAGTAGTGTCTTTCCACTCTAGATTTAAAGATGGTTTATAGATATGACTTGCTATTATATATTCACTATGGCACTTAAATGTTATAACTTATTTGAATGTTTAGTGGTCTTTTCTATGGTAAAGAAAAGTTGTTGTTTTGAAGCCCAGATATGAAGTTTGGGAGTCGCATGTACATGTATTTCACCATTTTGTATTGAATGGCACAGTGGATATACAGATACAGTGGACCCTCATTTATCCGGACACTTTGGTTCCCAGTCAATTTGTCCGGATATGTGAAGGATCCGGATATCTGAATCACCAGTTAAACAAGACAGAATAACATTTAAAAATTTCGTTCCGATGAAAAAGCGTCCGGATACTGAAGCATCCGGATATCTGGCGTCCGGATATCTGAAGGTCCACTGTACTTGTATACATACATTTGTCTACTATCAAATGAAAAAATAAATTCCAACAGGTAGAAGCGACATGAAATAAAAAGAGAGAGAGAGAAAGAGGGTAAAATGTTATAACTTATGTTTTGAATGTTTAGACTGAGAAAGCTGTGGAGCTTCTGACCAAGTTTGAGAGCATTGGAGGAGCGGAGCTTGACATGAATGAGAAGTACATGAGGGTCCTGATGAGTTACGGTAAGGACCTGGAGGGCATCAGGAAGGCGTACCAGAAGTACAAGTCCGAGCCCCTGATCCCCCGCAACCTCCCCCCAGTGGCCGGCAGGATCGCCTGGTCACGTCAGCTGTACAGGAAGATAGAACACCCAATGAAGGTGTTCAAGACAAAGCCAGAAATTCTGAAGGTGTGTAGCATTGTCACCTCATGGACGTGACAAAATTGTACATTTAAAAAAAGTGTTTACTTTTAATATTGCTGTTATATATACCTTATAAAAGTGCAGCATTGATATTGATGTTGAAATCTGTGTTGTAGCACCCAGAGGCCAAGAAAATTGTGAGGAATTACAACAAAATGGCAGGAGTTTTGTTAGAATATGAGGTAAAGGAATTAGATTATATTATCATAACTAGATAATTATGTTGTGAAATCATCATTCTTTTGTTTAGATACTATCAATGAAAGTATTCTGTCAGACTTGTGTTTATTAAAACTTTCATGAAAATCCCAGATGCTGTATCACCGCGGGTGGTGTAGGGCAGTAGAAGCCGCTAAAGGAGGCCTCAATTCTTCCCTCCTTGTCCGTCACCCAGAGACCAATGAACTCTATGTGAACTTTGACCCACAAGTGCTTGAGTTGATTCAGGAGTCCAAATGCCTTCAGGCCCTGAAACTGGAAGTTCCTGATACAGCCAAGGCCCTTATTGTGAAAGAGGAGGAAATCAAGAGTAACTCTGTATCGTAAGTGTAATCCACTTTAGTTTTTTAAATATAAAGTAATTAACCCTTATCGTGCTAATCGCGGCATTTGCCGCGATCGGCAACTTTACGTTTCAGTGCTGGTCGCGGCATAAGTCGTTTTTGAATATCGGAAATTCCCATTCCTATTTTAAGAATAAAAAAACCATTGTACAAACTATTTTTGTGTTGGTATTTCGTAATATCCGTTTTACACACCGAAACACTGTTTATAAGCCCTGATTTCATTGGTTGAAAGTACAAAAGCTCATCAAAAAGACGCAGGTTGTAACTTCAGTTACAAAAATGGCGGAATGTATCGACAATGACGATTTATTCCTAAACAACGCCGAATAACCGCATTTATTTTAAATTATCTTGGTAATTTGGAAAAGATATTGCTTTTGAGTGCTTTGAGTATGTTTTAATTTCAACGAATTTATAAGATGTAGATATATTAGTTGGATAAAGTTGGTGTTATGCAGACGACGATATACACGAGAACCGGGACGTTGTGGACACGTCTCCGAAATAAAACGTGCGAATTTGAGTTCGTTGTTCTTGTTTAGTATTTTCCTTTTACAATTATTCACACCATTGAAATAAATAAACATAAATAACTTATTTTCTCTAGTTTCTTGGTTAACGAGGTTTACCTGACGTAAGAGAACCTGTATCACAGTAGATATATGTATAGGAAAAGGTGATGAAATATCTCGCATCAAAACTGTTTTTGATTAACCATGAAATTTTAGTGTAGTTTTGTGTAGAATGCACATGCATTACCTTTTCTTACCTGTAACTTACACAGGTGTTTTTAGAATGAATCTGATAATGGAGTGACATTTGTACTGATTCAAACTATAAAAATTATATAAGGATTATGAGTAGTCATGTAATTTAAAGACACTAATATTTAAAAAATGATTTTATTGTTTTATGCAGCACCCTGTTATAACATTATACAAATATTATAAAGCATGATAAGGGTTAAAGTTATTTTTTCTATTTAACATCTCAGACCTTTATCTTTAACTTTATTAATAAAATTGTTTAAAAAGAAGAGAATAGGCTTGATTAACCATTAAGAGAAATGTGTTTTTCCGAAAATTATGGAGTAGTCATTAATTTGATGTTTCCCCCTTCTTTAGTTTACGTGAGATGTTGCTGGAGTACAAGAGAATCAAGGACGACATCCCGGCTGTGTTACAGCCCCCCATGAAGCCTTTCTGTGATCGAGTAGAGGAGGCCCTCCTCCCCGGAGTTACCACCCTTACCTGGACAGCCCTTAATGTGGATCACTGTAAGACATTTACATGTATATAGCAGACAAATTAATCTCTGATTTAACAAGAACATAGGAATATTATCTGTGATTTATTAGCCTTGATATGTGTTAAATTTCTGTGTTTAATATAAAGCATAAATTGAAAAACAAATAATACATGGATTACTTATGTGCGCTCAAATGCATTGTGAAGTGTGTTTGAATATGATCAGTTGAATGTCATTTTATCGGAAACGTGCATAAAATTTGATACTTATTTGTGAACTTTGCAATAGTTTAAATGTAGATGCTCTGCACTTTTAAAAACTCCCTCATTTTTAATTAATGTTCACAGCAATAGTAAATGTTACATATTTACATTACAGACATTGAGCACACCTACAAGGTGATGGCTCAGCTAGAGAAGCTCTCTAAGACGGTCAAGGACATCCTGGACTGTCGTATTGAGGCCGTCCTACAAGACATGTCTGTCACAGCGCTTTGTGACCTCCCGGAGGATGAGGCCGTTACCATGGAGAAGTTCCTGGATCTGACAGCCACGGCTGTGGATAGTGCTTCCAAACAACTTGCCAAGTAAGTACCTCATATTGCTGCAGCTGGGTATAGAATTATAAATGGGGGGGGGGGGAACTGAGGCAGTTATTATTATGATACCGTCATTTTTGCTGTAGTAAATTTTTAGCAAATTTGCGAGTTTATTGCACTGCAAAAATATTTTTCTTAAAAATAAATTACCAATAAGAAAATGTAAACAAAGCAGTGGTAATTCAAAATTTAGCATAAAAATTGTTTTGAATTTCCACATGATTAGTATCTAGTCTCACTGAATGAATCAGTCATGCATTTGTTTTGAATACATGAGCCACTGCATGTAATTCTTCAAATAAAGTCTAGATATATCTTTAGTGTCTCTATTAAGTCTTGATGTTTTTACTTTAGTCAAAGCCAGCTGGTGGAGCAGGCTGTGTATGAATTAGTGGACACCATGAAGGGGAACCTGAATGCTAAAGAGAAGGCGGTCCTGGCTGAAGGGGAGGGGTCCTCAGAGACGGACTGTTACTATGCCCTGCTGAACTACTTCACCCAGAGAAACACTGAGGCACTGGTCAAATGTAAGATTTGTATACCACATTTATCTCACATATCATGTTATCATTTAAAATGAGTTAAGCATATTTTTGTTTTATGTTTGTTTAAAAGAATAAAGCAAAAATTTATGCAGCCAGTTGAAGGAGTTAAGAATATCTATAATGTACCTTGTTGATTTCCTCAGGTACCCGCCTGTCCTTGGATGCCATTAAGAGGAGACTTCAAATCTTTAATAAGTACAGCAAGGATGCAGACAAGATGGATTCCAAGCCTCCGTTGTTCCGCGCTGACATTGTTCTGGCGATCCCTAACGTAGTGATGAAGCCCAGTCTGGATGACCTTCAGTCAGCCCTGAACAAGGCGGTACAGCTGATACTGAAGACGTCCCAGGACATCCCGCAGTGGGAACATCTCATCTACCACCAGAAACAGCAACAGAAGGTATACTGTCTTATACTGTCTCATGCTGTCTACAAACGTGTGCTGGTGTCAGTGTGTTCTCAAACGTACATCATTTATAATGTGTATCTCATCACTAAAATTCAGATCCAAGTAATTTGATTCTCTGACATTCTCTACAAGTAACATTATCTGGTATGATGTATTCAAGCTTGAAATCAGCCTCAAAATTTTTTCTTTGTTTGTTAAATTTGTACAGAGAGGCTTTGTTAGGTCATCATCACAGTCTTTGAAAGCAAAAGAAATTCACTCAAAAAGTTATCTGGTAATATTAGATTTTTAAAAGATTATATTAGTTAAAACTTTGAATTTTTGTTGTTTATTTATTCCAATTTCCTTTTGGTTCAAATCTGAATTTTAGAATTCCATTCAAAAGTTTGAGTGATGTGTTGATTAAATTTGATAGCAGTTTTTCATTTTTCATGCTATTTTGTCATCACTGAATTGCCAATTAAACTGAATTATAGGGAAGAAGGAAAAAGTGCTGCTTTTGTAAGCAATCCTCAAGCAGGTATTGATAACGTAGCAGGAAGAGGTCTTAGTCTATGATTAGCAAGTTTCTTGTAGGAACGAGGAACTGTGTTACAGTACAAAGAACTCTATAATGTATATCTTAATATCATTTTAGATTACTAGACTGGTCTGTAGCTTTCATAATTAACTTTCAGAGAATATCATAGTAAATTAAAATCTTTGACTATAGTAATTAAAATCACTGCTAATTGCTATGCAGTAGAATGATAAAATAAAGGTATGTTATCATCTGCATGATAAATACTTAGAGTAGAGCAGAATATGTATAGGTACATGTGTATTGGGGGAATGAGCTAGCAGTATCCTCACTTAGTATAATATCTAAACAAAATTCACATTTTTCAGATTTAGACACAAAATGTTTTAATTTGGCTTAAATTGGCTTAGATTTCATAAGAAATCTACCATATTATCAGATATGTTAATATACATTTTTCTTTGTTAAATAATGACATATGTAAAGAGATATTCAAATAACGGACAATTTACTACCTGTCGTAGATAACGGAGAAGTCAACACGAGGTGACGGAAAGGTAGATTTGTCAGCTTCTGTTCACACACTGGGGCAGGCTATATATATACTGTTGTGCTCTGTGTCAGTCAAGAATCCCACAAACCTTGTCAAATTCACCTAATGAAATCAATCAAGTTTCTTCATTTCCCAAACACACAGGAAAAATGACTTCGTTTGCAGTTGTCTCCCTTGTCCTAATCTTCCCCTACTCACTTTCACATTTCACAGAATTACTATTGATCTTGAAATAAATTATCTAATTTCGAAAAAAGAACAGTATAAAGGATACATGAATGATAAAAATTTTGTCACATATTTCAATTAAACAGTCAATCCATTAGTTTGTTAAATATTCAAGAAAGTGTAATTTTATTACCATTTTAAACCATGTTCATCATACATAAATGAACAAAAATATTTATTGAAAACAAATATTTCATCCAAAGATATTGGATAGGAATTGCACTGCGAATTCTTTCTCATAGTCTATACATCAAAACATTTAATTCTGGCCTTTACTTGATAAAAAGAGAGTTTTATACTATACTTTTAAGAATAATAGCCTTTTCATTTTTTTTTTTTTTTTACAAACAAGATTTTTAATTTGTAAAAGGGAGACAACACAAATTCTTGCCTGAGACAGTGGGGCTAAAAGGTGTATCACAGTCTATTAATGCTGGCACTCCTTGTTGTGAATGAGATTTAAAAATATATATGTAAAAACTGATGGTATTGAAATAAATTGATGAAATTATTATAGTGATGAATGACCAGTAGGATACATGTAAGCGTTTGCTTCAAAACAACCATGGGAGCTGAACTTGTTACTGGGCGACATGCATATATGTCATTGCTATATGTTTTCATTAAAAGGTTTTTAATTTTCAGTGTTAATTCAGTAACATTTTAACAGTTGCACTTATCTGGGTTGCTACAAGTAATTCTGTTAAAGCTTAATTAAACAATGTGTTTTTATTTTATATGGTAATGAAAAGTGTAAATTAAATAATTAGGTTAAAGAAAACAAAAAAATGACTGTTTATATCTGATTTCCCAACTTTGTTTATAAAGTTAATTAGTCCATGTGTTTGTGCAGGAAATGGAACAAATGGCGGCTGACCAGGGTGAGGAGGCCAAGATGATGCCCAACTCGATGATCAAACCTCTGCACAAGATAATCGCGGAGCACAAGGACGTGACAAAGATCGTCATTCAGCTGAACTCCATCATCACTCAGAACAAGACGGAGGCACAGGAAGTGCTGGAGATCTTCACCAAGGACAGCCACCTGTGGGACAAGGTACGTAACTCAGCACAACCACAAATCTTTGGGGAGTATATAGTCCTTAAAGTTTTACTAATTTTGAAATAATTTAAGTTAATGGACTTGAAAATATTTATTTTCAAATACAAATATTTATGTTCCAGGAACCAGAGGCCACTGTCAAGGAATTTATGTCTAACAATCCCATACTCACTGAAATTGAAGCTCAAATCAGATATTACCAGGTATGGTGTTAAACTAGTGTTCTGATATATAATAGCAAAAAATGCTACTCATCTTGATAGTGAGCGCAGCGAGTGTTGCGACGCACGTCACTGCGAGCTCTTAAAGCAATGCCTGTGTGAAGAGAAAATTCGGACTACTGCACATTCATTTGATCGAATTTTTTGACGCAGTTATTTGGACCCACAATGCATCACTTGTTAAAGCTGCGTTCTCTTGAGAATAGCAGCAAAAGTTCAACTAAAAGTAAACATGCCCTGATTTAATGGATAAATATTAAAGATAAATTTTAAGTAAAGGAAACGTTTTTCATTTACTTTCAGCACTGTTCAGGCTTCTTTTTGGAAATGTAACTTACATACGACGTCATTTGACGTCAGAGTCTAGACGCACCAAATGTCACATGCAGTTTAACGAGCCTGATCTAAATTATAACAAAAAAATATCTGCGCTCGCCATAACGGTCGCACCGTCAATATATTAGGATGGAAAATACCTGTATGTGTATTATGCTAATTAATATTTTTATAGAAACTGGAAACAGAGAAAGAAGAGATGCAGCTTAGCTACAGGGTAGGTGCCACATTGTTGAGCACAGAACCACTCAAACTGGCTCTGATTACTGAGGCCAAGAACTGGAAGATGGCATACGCCAAGGCTCTGAATGAGAAGTGTGCCCACGAGATGGACGAGATACTGGACTTCATTGACAATCTCACCAAACGTTTGTCTCGCCCCGTCAAAGACTTGGACGATGTCAGATCTCACATGGCTTCCCTCGCAGAAATCCGCGAGGCCGAAATCCGAATCGACATGACAATCACCCCAATGGAGGAAAGCTATGCAATGCTTAACAAGTACAATATTTTCTTCAATGACGGCAATGCTGAGCGAGTTGATACTCTGTCTTACGGCTGGAAGAAGCTGATTGCTCAGTCACAGCAGGTCCAGAACCACCTGCTGAAGATCCAGCCCGAGTTCAAGGCCGACCTCCTGGCTGGAGTGGAACAGTTCATCACAGATAACAAGGAATTCGTTTCTGACTATGACACCAAGTAAGACCTTCCTATTAATTTACTTTATGTTTTTCGCTGGTTGTTATATTGAACTCTTACATTGTAATAAGAAGGAATGAAATATTTCATTGAAGATTTAAGACATTTAAGTACCTAGGTTGTTAAAATTTTATGATGTTAATCAGAGAAAGTGGAATTTTTTAAAAATGTTCTTCATGATAAAGTTTACCTTTGACAGGGGTCCTATGGAGGAAGGTATCCACCCACGCGAGGCCTCAGACAGACTGAACATCTACCAGGCCCGCTTTGATGAGCTGTGGAGGAAGTACACCACTTACTCCGGGGGAGAGGAACTGTTTGGCCTGCCCGTCACTCAGTACCCTGACCTCCAGAGGATAAGGAAGGAACTGAACCTCCTCCAGAAACTGTACCAGCTGTACAACGTGGTGCTGGAGAACGTCAACGGATATCAGGATATCCCCTGGGTGGAGATTGATATTGAGAAGATTAACAATGAGCTGCTTGACTTTGGAAACAAGTATGTCATTGCAGATATTTTTATACTGTACATTATAGTTTCTGGAAATTATAATTAAAACAATCATTAAGAAACTTAGTTAATTGAAGCTGTGGAAGTGAAAGATTTACATGTATATTATCAAGTATAGATTCTGACGTAGTGAATTGTAAAGATACAAATGTCTTTGAAACACAGATGCCGAAAACTGCCCAAGGCTTTAAAAGAGTGGCAGGCTTATGAAGAGTTGAAGAAGACGATTGATGACTTTAACGAGACTTGTCCTCTTCTGGAGATGATGTCAAACAAAGCGATGATGCCACGTCACTGGGAGCGCATCGCTCAGATCACTGGACACACGTTTGACGTAGAGGCCGACAACTTCCTGCTGAGAAATCTGATGGAGGCTCCTCTACTACAGTACAAAGAGGACATTGAGGTAGGTCAGAGGAATGGCTCCTCTAGTTACTGATCAGGGAGTTGTACTGAATCTGTATTTTGTCTTTAACCTTTATAATTCATACTAGTTCCCTAATAATTCACCATTTATAACTGATGGTTGTACCCTGTACATGCAGAATCTTTATTTACTATTGAACTGTACTTGTCAGGATGTCTGCATCTCTGCGGTGAAGGAGAAGGACATTGAAGCCAAACTGAAGCAGGTGGTCAATGACTGGAGTGCCCAGGACTTCCAGTTCTCCAGCTTCAAAACCCGAGGAGAGCTTCTACTGAAAGGTAAGGTCTTAATGGAAGCTACTATTGTTATTACTAGTCATGATATTTAGAATGCTGTAAAGTGAACTGTGAATAAATTATAAAAAGTATCAGTCATAATCATAACTTTCTCTGTAGTGTGAACAACATTTTTGTACTTTGACTTTTCAAATATAATTCAACAGAACATGTGAAGTGTAACTTCCTTCTTTTTTGTTTGGTACTGAACACTTGTCTATCATGAAGACAGCTATTTTCTTCATACTCAATTCTCAATGTGCTTTTTCAATAACTGGAATGTTTATGTTGATTTTCAGGTGACACGACCTCAGAGACAGTGGCCCTGATGGAGGACAGCTTGATGGTGCTTGGATCCCTCCTCAGTAACAGGTATAATGCTCCCTTCAAACCCAAAATCCAGGAGTGGGTCCAGAAGCTGACCGGCACCACCGAGATCATTGAGAACTGGCTGGTGGTGCAGAATCTGTGGATCTACCTGGAGGCTGTCTTTGTGGGTGGTGACATTGCCAAACAGCTGCCCCAGGTAATGTACCATGTGATCAGGTGGAAAGATTATTGTTAAGAAGTTTATTATATGTGTTTTGATGGAATAAGCTGCAGAGTGTCACAAAACAGAGAATATTTTTATCTGTTACATTATTTTCATAATGTTTTAGAGATGATAAACTGAGTACTGAAGTAAAAAGTTAGCTTAAGGAGAAATTAAAACAGTAAATTCAAACATCTTTTCGTATAACTCATTTCAGGAAGCTAAGCGCTTTAGCAACATTGACAAGTCTTGGATGAAGATAATGCAGAGAGCTCATGAGATTCCCAATGTGGTGCAGTGTTGTGTGGGGGACGACACCCTGAGCCAACTCCTGCCCCACCTCCTGGAGCAGCTCGAGATCTGTCAGAAATCACTCACAGGCTACCTCGAGAAGAAACGTCTCATCTTCCCACGATTCTTCTTCGTGTCTGACCCCGCCCTGCTGGAAATCCTGGGTCAGGCCAGTGACTCCCACACCATTCAGGTCCGTCTTAATCTAATGTTAACTTAATAATTCACAGGCATGTTCTCAGTGCTGCATTGAGAATTAACACTTCAAAAATACTGTATAGGGGGAAAATAACTCGCGGTGTTAATATTCGCTATTTTCACGGTGTTGATGAATCCGTGAATTCAAGAAACAGTGAATAAGTTTTCAATATGTATAGATAAGGGAGGGAACTTTTCTAACATACAAATTCCGCGAATTCAAGAAACCGCGACAGTGTCAGAGAAGAGGAAAACGTGAAAATTACAACCCGTGAAATTAATCCCCTATACAGTAGTTTTTTTTTTCAAAGGATCACTTCATTATAAATAGGGATCTGACCTATAGGACCGGGCTTGGTTTTATTCTCTACAAAAAGCTTGTTGATTTCCGTTCTGATTAATGACATTAGGCTGTATACATATAACAATTTGTTTTTCCTAAATCCTTATTTCAGTGAGTATAGATAGGAGGAACCCTTTCATTGATTTTCTGAGTTTGTTATCTCCAAATGTAATAATTGGTATTTTTCTTTACTTCTCATTGTGCACATTGGTAACGTCTACTGTCTCTGAAATTCTATCCTTTATGTCTAGGCTATTTATCCGTGGATATGATAAAACATGCCATTAATGTGTGCAAATTATACAGGCCTAAATGAAATCCAAGGAAATCAGTTACTGATATATGTAGCCAAAGTCAATGTGATTAAATTCCAAGGAATATATAGAAATGAAATTCCATCGCAGCTCAATGCTGCCAAGAATACCTGTATCGAGTAACACAAAGTGTGCTATTCGTGTCCTCGGAGAAAGTGTGCTTACACTGTTCCGCCTGACTGACAACTTTACATTGGATTGTTACGATCTGATCTCTCTTTAGTGTTTCTTATATCAAAAATAGGCATGCAAAAAGGATAGATAATTGAAAGAAAATGCCCAATCTATTAAAAAATAAAAATTGTCTTTGAAAAGGCGAAAAATTAAAACTTTAAAAGTGTGGTACCAGGTGGATTCGAACCCCCGACTTTAAAAAGAAAGTTTCCACGATGTAAAAATCAGCTCATATATCAACTGAGCTAGTCTGACTTTAATAATAAAAGGTATAAATTTGAAGCAGATTATAAAAATCAGGTTTCCTTACTTTTTTGTAAGTTTTTTGTGAATTTCGACCCTAGGGCAGGGGTGCCCCTAAAAAATTCCTATCTTAAATTATTCTTTATATATCAACCTATCAAAATATCAAAGTTTTATTTAGGGGCAGGCCTGCCCTGAAGGACTTCTAGGCCAAAATACATGCAAAAATCAACGCTTAAACGGACAAAATGGTGTTTTGGCCAACTTTGGAGGTTTATTGTAAAGTTGTAAATAATAAATATTAGGTATAAAATTCAAATTTGAAAAATTTAGACATATATACGATAGAAAACAACAAATGAAGATTCATTTTTAAATGTCACTTTTTCCGGGAAATTGTTCTCTCCTATAGGTCAATTCTTTTGTCATAGCGAATACATCCTTTCTGGTTGAAAGCATTGCTACTTGACATAGAATGTATATATTAAAAAAAAGATTTTCTGTTTATAAAGGTTTTCAGTGATCGTATTCCTTGACATGTCCTCTGAAAACAGTTCAATCTCCATTGACACTTATGTTTTACATTGCAGGCCCATTTGTTGAGTGTATTTGATAACACCAAGACCGTGACGTTTGATGAGAAAGTTTATGACAAGATTCTGTCCATCAACTCCCAGGAAGGGGAGAATGTAGGACTGGAGGAAGCTGTCATGTGTCAGGTAAGGCTAATTTTAGATCAAAGTTTCTGCCCACTGCACTTACACACAATGGAATAGAAAATAAGATAATATAAATGCATATTTTACCTGATTGTATACATTAAATAATTCTGAATTTGATTAAATTTGAATGAATAAAAGTAATTGATATCAATTATTGACATTGTAGGGTAACGTTGAGATATGGCTGGGAGACTTACTGCGTGTGTCGAGGAAGTCCCTCCACAGCATCATCAGATCAGCAGCCATCAGTATCGGAGATCCAAGCTTCAAACTCATCGAGTTCGAGAACATGTTCCCCTCACAGGTCAGAATAAGCAGTGTTAATGAGATCCTGAGATCTATTTATTCAATAAAATTGTAAATTTTGATGTAGTTTTTAATGAAAATGACTGTTGATTTTTTGTAAGATCTTTAGGCTAATTTTCTCCTCTAACCAGTTTCTTTGTTCTGTAGATTGGACTGTTGGGTATCCAGATGTTGTGGACGCGAGATTCAGAAGAAGCTCTCAACAATGCTCGAGTGGATAAGAAAATAATGCAGAACACCAACCAGAAATTCTTAGACATTCTGAATGAGCTCATTGCCATGACAACCACTGAACTGACCAAAATTGAGAGAACCAAATTTGAGACCCTCATTACTGTTCACGTCCATCAGAAAGACATCTTTGATGACTTGGTAAGTCTAGACAAACTGATTTGAAAAAAAATTAAAAGGATTTAAGTAAATTTTGAGTGACTAAGTATGAGAATTAAAAAAATCGTTGGTCAGACTTCTGACTTATTGTTGAAATATGTATTGTTTTGTTCATACATGAGAACTTAGGTTTTGTAAATCAAATAAAATGGGACAGAAAACAGAGAATGGTTTAATGTGATTTTGAATTTTAACAGGTAAAGATGCACATCCGCTCCCCCAATGACTTTGAGTGGCTGAAGCAGTCCAGGTTCTACTTTAAGGAGGACACAGACCAGTGTCTGATCTCCATTACCGACGTAGACTTCACCTACATGAACGAGTTCCTGGGGTGCACCGAGCGTTTGGTCATCACTCCGCTCACTGACAGGTAAGATCAGGGAAGAGGAGGCAGATTCCTTAAGAATGTAGTTAATCTAAGGCTACAGAAATATTACAGCAGCTGTATTAATGTCAGATGACCTACAAGTTTCAATAAATGATCCATAAATCAGTAAATCTAATTCTTGTCAGTAGTTCTCTGCAGAACCACTGCTTCAGTTTGAAAATGTCATGGGTAAATTTTAAATGTGATCCAAGATGATGGTTTTGCTTGTCTGTTTCAGATGTTACATCACCCTGGCCCAGGCCTTAGGAATGTCCTTGGGAGGAGCCCCTGCTGGGCCCGCCGGTACAGGGAAGACAGAGACCACCAAAGACATGGGGCGGTGTCTCGGCAAATACGTGGTGGTATTTAACTGCTCCGATCAGATGGACTACAGAGGACTGGGGCGAATCTACAAAGGTCAGGCTTCTCAGTTCAGAATCTCTGTTTTCATTGCTTTCTACCTGTAGGAAAAAGAAACCTGGAAAAATAAAAAAAGAAAGATGATCAAGTTTTCTTATTATCAAATAGACCAAATACTTGCTGAGAAAGTGAAAAATCAGAAACATAAAGTATTACTTTATCATTAAATGAATTTTTATTTTGGTCTTGTTGTTGACAGGTTTGGCCCAGTCTGGCTCCTGGGGATGCTTTGACGAGTTCAACAGAATTGAGTTGCCTGTGTTGTCTGTGGCTGCTCAACAAATCGCCATCGTACTGCTGTGTAAGAAGGAGAGGAAGTCTCAGTTTATCTTCACTGACGGAGACAATGTGGACATGGATCCCGAGTTTGGTATTTTCTTGACTATGGTAAGGAGAAATGCTCTATGATAGACAATAAGAACAAGGCATCTATGGTAGAATTAAAAATTGATTTCTCATGAATTACTTTCTTTTTGATAGTGTAAAAAAGGAAATTTTAAGGGGAGGTATTCTTATATCCAAATGTTTACTTTATAGTATAATGTTTCTGTATGTATTATAATTTCTTCAAAGCTTCCATTCAGAAGTACTGTATATGTGTATGTTACTTGATTCTACTGATTATTTTTTACCTGAATAATTTTTGACAACCATTGATTTCAGAACCCTGGTTATGCTGGTCGTCAGGAATTGCCAGAGAATCTGAAGATTAACTTCCGTACAGTAGCCATGATGGTTCCCGACAGAGCCATTATCATCAGAGTCAAGTTGGCTAGCTGTGGTTTCATGCAGAACATTGTCCTTGCCAAGAAATTCTTCACTCTCTACAAACTCTGTGAGGAACAGCTAACAAAACAGGTCCATTATGATTTTGGTCTTCGTAATATTCTCTCTGTCCTGCGTACTTTGGGAGCATTCAAGCGTGCCAACCCTGAGGATGCTGAGACCGTGATTGTGATGAGAGTTTTACGTGACATGAACTTGTCCAAGCTTGTAGATGAGGACGAACCTCTCTTTATGTCTTTGATTGATGACTTGTTCCCTGGAATCACACTAGACAAGGCAGGGTACCCAGAAATGGAGGCTGCCATTGAGAAAAATGTAAGATTTTTAGCCATCTTGTGTTCCAAATAGACAGAACTGAAAACAAAAACTTTGGTCCTTGATTTGCAATGTTAGACTGTGAAATGTATTTGTTTTCTTGCTGTAGGTACTTGATGCGGGACTGATCGTCCACGCCCCCTGGATCCTGAAGCTGATTCAGCTGTTTGAGACCCAGCGGGTCAGACACGGTATGATGACCCTGGGGCCCACCGGGGCAGGGAAGACCAAGTGTATCAACATGCTGATGAAGGCCATGACAGATTGTGGTGAGCCCCACAAGGAGATGAGGATGAACCCCAAGGCTATCACCGCCCCCCAGATGTTTGGTCGTCTGGATGTGGCCACTAATGACTGGACAGACGGGATCTTCTCCACTCTCTGGAGGAGAACTCACAAAACCAAAAAGGTTAATTAAGTTCCTATATATTGATTTACATCAAATGGTGTATAAAACCAAGTTATGACTTTTGCTCCTCATATTATTAAGTTAAATTTTGAACAAAAATAACATAAATATGGAATAATGATGTAAATTTCAATGTAATAAAAGTATACATATTTTAATGAAATTAATACCAATAAAACAATTATAGTTTTAAATCTTTCATAGCCCTTATTAAGTCTGTAAAATTATTAAAAATATGAACCTTATTCTTTCCAGGGTGAACATATTTGGCTGATTTTGGATGGTCCAGTAGATGCTATCTGGATTGAGAACTTGAACTCTGTGCTGGACGACAACAAGACCTTGACCCTGGCTAACGGTGATCGTATCCCAATGGCCCCTAATTGTAAGATCATCTTTGAGGTGCACAACATTGACAATGCCTCGCCAGCTACTGTCTCCAGAAACGGGATGGTGTTCATGTCCAGTTCTATCTTGGACTGGGATCCCATCCTTAGGGGTAAGTCAGAATCAATATAGAAAGGTTTATACTTTTATCTCTATACATGGTTTGTTGGCTCATTCTTTGTGGCAATCCTGTCTTAAATACATTACAATGTATTTGTAAATGTATGCTGTTTTATCATTTTATATGAATTTGAAAATATTCAATATGTGAACTTTGTTATGTTTTCTGAACAGGATGGTTGAATACACGACCTGCCAATCAACAGGACACTATCTTCCAAACTTGTGAAGCCATCTTTCCCAAACTTTACACCCAAGTCATTCAGAAATATGAAGCCAAAATGCAGGTGCTTGAGTGCATGTATGTGAGGCAGCTGTGTGACTTGTTGGAAGGTCTGATTCCTTCAGGAGAGGAGGCTAAAGACATCAAAGTACCCCATCTACAGAGGATCATTATCTTTGCTCACATGTGGACCCTTGGGGCTCTATTGGAGCTGGAAGACAGGAAGAAGATGGAGGACTGGCTTAAGGAGAACGTCAGTAACCTGCCCCTCCCCCCTGCTGACGGGGACGACACCATCTTTGAGTACATGGTGGGAGAGACAGGAGACTGGGAGCACTGGTCTGGACTGGTGCCAGAGTACGTCTACCCCTCAGACTCCGTACCCGAGTACACCAGTATCCTAGTTCCCAACGTGGACAATGTCAGAACGGATTACCTCATTGGAACCATCTCCAAGCAGGGCAAGGCGGTGCTCCTGATTGGTGAACAGGTCAGTTTTATATCACTAATGGTTGGTCTGTATGATTCAGATCAATCATATTTTCTCCTCTTTCATATTTCTTCTTCTTCTGTATGTTTCCTGATGTCAATGTGTATTTTAGATTTTACATAATCTAATGAGTATGTATATACATTTTATAAATAGTGCATAATTATATCAATTTCATCAAGTTTGCTTCTTGTAATACATATATACAAATAAATACAAACCTATTGAAAATTTTCCTTTGTCTTACAGGGTACAGCTAAGACTGTAATGGTGCAGGGATACTGTAACAAATTTGACCCAGAAACTCATGTGTTTAAGAGCTTTAACTTCTCCAGTGCCAGTACACCTTACATGTTCCAGGTAGGTCACCCAGGACTGTAGTGTCAACTTTTCTTGTAACATTATCAGGAAACACACTGAATATTCTGTTTTTTTAATTGCCAGTGAAAAATACATTTGTCATGCAGCTATTATATCTTTGTTTTTAGAGAACTATTGAGAGTTATGTAGACAAGAGGATGGGTACAACCTACGGCCCACCAGCAGGGAAGAAGATGACAGTGTTTGTTGATGACATCAACATGCCCATTATCAATGAATGGGGAGATCAGGTATGTACTAAGGGTCCCCTTACTAAATAAAATAACTGGACCTGTGGTTATATTGTTATTCTGGGTCCCAGCTTTCCAATTTGTAGTACACTAGTGCCTTCTTCTCCTTAAGAATGGATCTTGTATTTAAGGAAGTTAATTCCATAAAATATTGCAGACTTCTCATCAAGATAGTCTATCAGATATATTTGTAGACTAATTTTGATTGGATGTTTGTAGGTGACCAATGAGATCACCCGCCAGATGATGGAGGCTAAGGGATTTTACAATCTGGAGAAGCCTGGAGAGTTTACAAACATTGTAGACATCCAGATGGTGGCCGCCATGATCCACCCAGGTGGAGGTCGTAACGACATTCCGTCCCGACTTAAACGACACTTCAACATCTTCAACTGCACTCTCCCGTCAAACAGCTCCATTGACAAAATCTTCAAGACCATTGGCAAAGGCTATTTCATTCCGGTAAGGCTTACATTTGATGCGAAGTACTTGTTTACATTGTATGTTAAGTAAATGTTAAATTAACTTGGTGCTTATACCATCCCAGTGAGGAATGACCTTAATTACTTGCTGAAAGTATGAATAAATTATATGACATAAATATCAAATTGGAAACTTTTTTAATCAATGCCCTATGTTTCTACATGTATTAATTGTTTTGTAATCTGTGTTCAGATGTCTGTAAATGTGCCATATTAAATTTCTCTTTCCAATTGTGTATTAAACCCTGTGAGTGTTACAAATTATCCATGTTCTAAGAAGGAGCATTCTAACTTATGTTTGCTTTTATAATTGCAGCATGTACGTAAAGTATACTAACTACTAGCTGTTGTTGACCAATAAGTGTAGTGGTCGATTTTTTCTTTCTTCTTATTTCACACACATTTGTATCTGTTAATTTACACGTCACTTTATATGTCTCCAAACACTGTTCTTTTTTATGGTCCTCCTTACAATCCTTTCTACATAATGCAGGGAAAAAAGGAAGGGGCAAGATGTATTTTGTAAACTGTCAGATGAAGTCAAATTTATTCAGTTATATTTTATAAAAATTATCTGTGAATGTTGTAACTACTGTGTTAGCTGACCTAGAGGAATGTTGATTCACATGTTACAGTAGTATTATACTGACAATATGCAGTCTCCAGCAATCTGCTGTTCCACTAATAGAATATTTAGAATATTTTCCTGGGAACATTTAGTCTTCATTTCTCTATTTGTCCTTTTTCTTTATAAATGATTCGTAAAAGTGCACATGGATTTGAAAATGGTTTTACATGGGCAGATTTTACTTGCATGACAGTGGCATGAATTATTTCAATTTTGCACAATTTCAATCAAGTTATTTCCTATTTTAGAATGTGTTTCTGAGTCTTTTCTTTATCAAATTATTTTTATTCATGAATAGCCCAGTATCCTCAATTAATGCATAATTTTTCTAAGATTATATGTAAATAAAGTACTTTGTATATAGAAATGTTTATAAGAATAAAAAATTATAAATATATAAAGACATAATAAGAAGAATATGACTTACTTGGGCCTAACCAGTCTTGGAATTAATAACTGGCTGATTTTTTGGACAGGGTCGAGAATTTGCAGAGGAGGTCTGTGAACTGGTTAACTCCCTTGTCCCAGCAACTAGAAAAGTGTGGCAGCGAGTCAAGGTCAAGATGTTGCCTACCCCTGCCAAGTTCCACTACGTCTTCAACCTCCGTGATTTGAGTCGTATCTGGCAGGGCATGCTGAATACGACCCCCGAGATTATCAACAACGCCGGCAGAATGATGTCCCTGTGGAAGCACGAGTGTTTCCGCACCATCGCTGACAGATTTGTTGACATAACAGACAAAGATTGGTTTGACAAGACCGTTAAGCAGGTATTACATACATACTACTGTAAAACATGTTTAAAAATATTGTACAATGAGCTGTTCTTAGGTTTTGCGATTATTTGCACAAATATTTAGTAGTCAGAAATAAAGAGTTTGCCACAACCAGATCATAGTAAAATTTTATTGCAATCTATAAGTTGCATTGTAATTTTATTTTATTTATTTTTATAATTTTTTGGACCTTGTAAGTGAATTATGATCAATATTAATTATTATGCTAATTACAGGTTGCTGAGGAGGAGTGTGGTTCTGCAGCAGTGGCAGACATGGAGGCCGAGCCGTATTTTGTTGATTTCCTTCGTGAGGCCCCAGAACCTACAGGTAGGTCACGACCTTTATCTGACGAGAAAATTATTTTTATTGGCGTATGCAGTTTACTTGTAAAGTAAAATTTATAGCATTGAAATTGGTAATTATCAAGTGAATGAGTAGGTCTAAGACTATTACAATAGGTCTCCAGTTGCTCAGGTTTTTAATTTAGGAAATTTACAATATATATTAATATGTTTTCTTAGGAAAAGCAAAGATGATGCAGAGTAAAAAGAAATCACGTAGAGTAGATAATTAGTTAGATTATCACTCCGTATCTTAAGTCATATTCACAGAATAAAAGTGTTTTTCAATGTTAGCTTTTGTTAATGTGTTGTTAAGCTCAATGTTTTATTCCAGATGAGCCAGTTTAGTCTCAGGTTTTCACATGCATAATTTGTTGTAAGAACCAGAATGTTATTTTGGGCTGTTTTATTGTGCAGGAACACTTATCACAATGTATTGTACTTTCAAGCAGACCCTCTTAGCATTTGTTTTACGGGTCTATGGTCAAGAAATACATTGCATGGCTATTCCCTGAGGCCTTGAATGGATCTCTTAATTTTGTATTTTAAGAATGAAATTATTTTTATGTACCATTGAACACCGCCTATTATGAAATTAATGTTAACTTTGCATGCATGATACATTTCATCAAAATCGCACAGTAAATAACTATCTGCATGGTAACAATATTGATTATTTGATCAATAGAAATGTCAACATTTTAAATAAGTGTTACAGCAGTAAAGTAAAACTTATTGAAACATTTACAAAAAAAAACATTAAAGAAAAATACATGTTTAAGCATATTTTACGAAAAGGAATCTTAAATTGCCAGAACTCAGATTTGGTTTAGAGTTAGAGGTGACTTAGATGTGACCTCTTAACCTTTTATTTGGTATGAGGAATGTGACCTGTTGACTTTTTGTTTGGTATGAGGAATGTGACCTGTTGACCTTTTGTTTGGTGTAGGTGAGGAGACAGACGATGCAGACCTTGAGGCCCCTAAGATCTATGAACCGATCCCTACCCTGGACTTCCTGTCTGAGCGCCTCAAGTCCTACCAGGAACAGTACAACGAGACCATCAGAGGATCCAAGATGGACCTGGTCTTCTTCAAGGTTAGGTCTTGTCTTAACCAATAAAGGGTTATATAAGATGCCATCAATATTAATCTTACCAAAAAAAACTAATGAAATAAAACAAAAATACTGGATTGTCAATATCATTATGTATGTAGTAAAATCAAATATCTATAAAATCTTACAATTTTCTAATTTAAGAAATGTTTTCAATTCTTTGATTTGAGAAGTAAATATATATGTTCATGTCTTGTATTGATTGTTAAAACTTGTCTTGCTATGGTTGTAGGATGCTATGACGAATCTGGTGAAGATTTCCCGCGTCATTCGTACGCCCCGAGGCCACGCCCTGCTGGTGGGAGTGGGAGGGTCTGGTAAACAGAGCTTGACCAGACTGGCTTCATTCATCGCTGGCTACAAAAACTTCCAGATCACCTTGTCCAGGTTACTATAAATACTTATCTCTAAACCAGTTTAATACAAAGACTGAATAAAAAGTAAAGGATTGAATTTTATGATGGTAGAGATAAATATGAAATACATTGAATATGCAAACTTCAATGTGATGAAATATAAAAGAAATAGGAGAAATATTGTAAGATGTTTGAAACGTAAGAATTTTTTTTGCTATTGCAATCACCTAGGAGGTAAGAATGGATATGTTGTCAGAAACATTCACAGCCAGATAATTGTTTCACTGAGAAAAAAAATGAGAAAATGGCACAACGTATTTGAAAAGAGATTGATTACATGTGATATTTGTATGTCCAAGACTGATCTTTAGAGAAGTTTTAAACATATTAAAAGCCATTAACTCTTCAAATACCCCAGATATATACCACAGTCTTGAATGACGGTTGCTCAAAAATTTAAAGGAAACTAAAAAATAGTATCTTAGTATCAAAATTTCTCTGTCTGCCTTTACCTGTGTTAGGTCAATTGTAAGTCTTCAGATTTCTGTGCTTAGCTTGTGGTTTGTATTGATTCTTGTCATGGTCCATGTTGCTTACCTGTCCATAATTCAGAGTATTGCAAATTCAGCTGTCTTATTGTAATCTTTGAACTGCCTCAGTATCAGTAATCATGTGGTAGGCTTTTTTTCATTCTGGAAAAACTGATTTTTTGCAAAATGTTTGAATTATTCTGAATGAATTGTATTTAAGGTCGTACAATGTAACAAACCTGCTGGAGGATCTAAAATTCCTGTACAGAACGGCAGGACAGCAGGGAAAAGGAATCACCTTCATCTTCACTGACAACGAGATCAAAGACGAGGGCTTCCTGGAGTACATGAACAACATCCTGTCCTCAGGAGAGGTACCTCTCACAAAATCTTATTTCCTTCAAGTCATAAATTTAAAGTACACAGCTTTACTTCAAGAGTTGCATTTTGACCTGTCAGGACAAGGCATACCTGTACACAACAAAGACTGTTTCATATTTAGGACTTGAATATTTTTATAACAGAGAAATGTGCAGACCTTTTCTTTCTTTGATTTGCCTTTTGATTAGTAACCAATGGAAGTGGTGGTATTTAGCTATATGTTTGTAAAAGAGAGGGAAAAAGAATGTACAAGTCTAAGAACATTATGACCTATGGGCCATTTGTTTTTCTCTTCTAACATTTATGTTTTTGCTTTATAAGAGGTGTGTGATTATTAAGATTCTCAAATCTGTGTAGGTATCTGGCCTGTTTGCAAGAGATGAAATGGATGAGATCTTACAAGAACTGATAGCAGAAATGAAGAAAGAATTCCCACGTCGTCCACCCACAAACGAGAATCTGTACGATTACTACCTATCTCGCTGTCGACAGAACCTTCATGTGGCTCTGTGTTTCTCTCCTGTAAGTAATAATTCAGCCTTACTATAAGTTGTGACTTAACTGATATTCATACCATCTGTCAACCCTAAGACTCCCTGTTTAACATTATCCCCTGTAACCTCAGGTTGGTGAGAAGTTCCGTAGCCGATCCCTCAAGTTCCCTGGACTTATCTCTGGCTGTACAATGAACTGGTTCCAGCGCTGGCCAAAGGATGCCCTGATAGCCGTATCCAACCATTTCCTGGCAGAATACGACATTTCCTGTACACCTGCTGTCAAAACAGCTGTTGTCGGAACTATGGGTCTCTTCCAGGTTAGGGTTCAAGAGTTTCAAATCGAAGGAAAAAACTAGTTGACCTTTTAGTGGAATAAAACATTTCTATTATTCTGATACATTTAAATACTTAAAATGGAGAAAAATTGAAAAGAAATTGAAAGATAAAGGAAATTAAGGGTTCCATACACAGAGGAAAATTTAAGGAAATATTTATTGTTTTAAACCTAAATTTTTGAAAGGAGAAGTGATTGAACTGTTTTAGAGATTTTTCTGAGAGTAATGAGTTACTCCTCTATTAGTCTTCATTCTAACAGCAGAAAAAAATATCATAGATACTTATTAGACTATAAATGGCCAAGTTGTAAAGAGGAACACAAAATGTTTGTGAATTGTGAAGGTAACATGAAGAAGAGAAATCTTGTTTTGCTATTCTTTCCCATTTATGGATTATGATTTATCCAACGGTTCTGCTATTTTGTTTTACAGGATCTTGTGGCGGAGATGTGCATTGATTACTTCCAAAGATACCGTCGTCAGACCTATGTTACACCCAAGTCTTATCTGTCCTTCATTGCTGGTTACAAGACCATATACAGCGAGAAGAAAGGAGAAATTGGCATTCTGGCTGAGAGAATGAATACAGGTATTGTTTCCTCTTTAACAATGATACAGGTTGTTTTTCTTTTTTAATTGATTTAGAAATTGATGTTGTCAAATAAATCTGTTCATGTGATTTGTCATCATTTCTACAGTCTGAATCTAGTAATGTTAATGGTTATGTGCTGGCTTTTAGAAATTTTTGTTCTGTTATTTTTAAAAGTCTGTAAGTCTGCAATGCAGGTTACTTTTAAAATTCTGCAAGTATGCAGGATAAGTATAAAAACTTATTCGACGGTGCTCTGAATTATTAAAGTAAATTGTCTTTTCCAGGTTTGAAAAAACTAGTTGAAGCAACTGAGTCGGTAAATGAACTGTCCAAGGAACTGGCAGTCAAGGAAAAGGAGTTAGCGGTGGCCTCTAAGAAGGCTGACCAGGTGCTTGCTGAAGTGACCGTCAGTGCCCAGGCGGCTGAAAAGGTCAAGGCCCAGGTACAGGTGGTCAAGGACAAAGCCCAGGCTATTGTAGATTCCATCTCCGTGGACAAAGCGTCGGCCGAGGAGAAACTGGAGGTGGCCAGGCCTGCCCTGGAGGAAGCGGAGGCTGCCTTACAGACAATCAAACCTGCCCATATCTCCACTGTCAAGAAGCTGGGAAAACCCCCTCATCTGATCATGAGGATTATGGACTGTGTACTGTTACTCTTCCAGCGCCGTTTAGACCAAGTCAAAATGGATGAAGAGAGACACTGTGTCATACCATCCTGGTCAGAAGCCTTGAAACTGATGAGCAGTAGCTCCTTCCTGAATGGTTTAATGACCTTTAATAAGGTAAAGACATTCTACAGTGTGCCATACTTTTTGCCCCTCTCTGTATTTATCAGTGTTCTGTGTCAGTATATGTATTGTTTTCTAACTACAGGATACCATCAATGAGGAGACGGTGGAACTGTTACAGCCCTATTTACAGATGGAGGACTACAATCTAGAGACGGCTCAGAAAGTGTGTGGTGATGTAGCCGGTCTGTGCTCCTGGACCAAAGCCATGGCCTTCTTCTACGGCATCAACAAAGAAGTATTGCCCCTAAAGGCAAACTTAGCGGTACAGGAGGCTCGACTTCAGTCGGCCATGAAGGACTTGAACAATGCCCAGGCACAGCTAGACGAGAAGAACAAGGAGCTGGCCGCTGTAATGGCCATGTATGATGCTGCCATGAAGGAAAAGCAGGTGAGGGAACCAGTGATCTGTTTATAGGTTACTGGGTCAGATAAGGACAGAGTCGCTTCACACTTCTGGTGTACTATATATGGTGTACTCTTATAATCAAATGCAAGCCAAAATGATGTCATTTTTTATTAAATCAAAGTCTTCAACAAAAGTATAGGCCCAATTACTTGTTTCTCAATTTTTTCATCAAATAATTTGACATTGAAATTTAAGAATGACAGTCATGGAGAAGGTAAATCTAATTGAAAAAGATAAAAGTTAATATGTTGAATTTTACCCCCTTTGTATGAATTGTAAGAAAACTTCATGACTTTGTACACTCTTTGTATGAATGTTGAGAAAACTACATGAATTCAACTTATTGGATTTAAAGAAAAGACACATTTTCAATAATATAATTATTACACCACTGTGTATGATATTAATCCAGTAAACTTGGATGTTGTAGGCATTGGTAGATGATGCAGAGGCCTGCCGCAGGAAAATGACTAATGCCACTGCCTTGATTCAAGGCCTGTCAGGGGAAAGAATCCGTTGGACTGAGGCCAGTAAGGGATTCGAGGCTCAGATCCACAGACTTGTCGGGGATGTCCTGCTCTGCACTGGCTTCCTGTCCTACACAGGCCCGTTCAACCAGGAATTCCGAAACCTCATATTGAAAAACTGGAAAAAGGAGATGATTGCCCAGAAAATTCCATTCAGTGATGTAAGAATTATAGCAATTTATTTATACTTCTTGTTGACAGCAAATTTTTCTTTGAGTCTCTTATGCACACAGAAATGGATAATTTTCTTCTTGCTGCTAGGCATGCTTTTATAAACATTTTGATTGACAGTTTTCACTTGTTGATATAACAGGACCTGCAGATTGTGTCTATGTTGGTGGACAATGCCACTATTGGAGAGTGGAACCTTGAAGGTTTGCCCAATGATGAGCTGTCCATTCAGAATGGTCTGATTGTAACCAAGGCTTCCCGCTTCCCTCTTCTGATTGATCCACAGGGGCAGGGCAAAGCCTGGATTAAAAAGAGGGAGGGCAAAAACGAATTACAGGTTAATATATTTTGAAAAATATAAATCATTTTTAAAAAAGCACTTAATGTACCTGATACATTTGTATAGAAGATTTTATTCTCTATTGCAAACGTTGTTAGAATGCTCAAATGGATTAAAGAGAAAGAACCCTAAAGGGATAGGTTGTAAGACTGACAGTGCTTTGGTTTATGTGTAGGTGACAGCCCTGAACCATAAATACTTCCGTACCCACCTTGAGGACAGCCTGTCCCTGGGGCGACCCCTCATTATTGAGGATGTGGGTGAGGAACTGGACCCAGCCCTGGACAACGTCCTAGAAAAGAACTTCATCAAGTCAGGCTCCACATTCAAGGTGAGTCAAAGAAATCTCCTTACAGAACGGCATAGCAGTCATCTCATTAGCTTTACTGAGATAAAGAAAACCATGTATAATTGATGTAAAAAAAATACATTGGGAAATATTGTTAAAATCATGATACTAAAAGTTACAGAGCATCATATTCTGTTCATTGTGAAAGTGAGATGATATTTAGCTGTTTTCGTTTTCAAGGTGAAAGTAGGAGATAAGGAGGTAGATGTGATGAATGGATTCCGTCTGTACATCACCACAAAGCTAGGTAACCCGACCTACACACCAGAAGTGTCAGCTCGCACGTCCATTGTGGATTTCACTGTAACAATGAAGGGTCTGGAGGATCAGCTGTTAGGGGTGGTCATCTTGACTGAGAAACAGGTACAAATTATGTCATACCCTTTGTTTATCCTTTGAAAGACATGCAAATTGTTGATGATCAGGAATGACTAAAGAAACAAGTACTTTTGTTAAGATGGTTATTGGAAAGCTATGATGTACTAAGAAGTCACTGATATTGATTGTATTTCCATTAGCACAACATACATGTTAAGTTAGATCTGCAATTGTGTCATTGACTATAAGCACTGTCTCTGTGTTCTATAGGAACTGGAACAGGAGAGAGTGTCCCTAATGGAAGAAGTGACGGCCAACAAGAGGAAGATGCAGGAGCTGGAAGATAACCTGCTGTACCGCCTGACATCCACCCAGGGGTCACTGGTGGAGGACGAATCTCTGATCGAGGTGCTGCAGGTCACCAAGGCCACCGCCGAGGACGTCAGCGAGAAACTGAAGGTCGCCGCCGAAACCGAGATTAAAATCAACTCCGCTCGTGAGGAATTCAGGCCAGGTAAAGATATCACTGGGAAATTTAGGGAAAAGGTTTTATTTGAATTTTAAGATTGTTTATCCTTTCATTTTTCTATTAAATTTCTTAGGAATGTGTTGCATGGTGGATATTCTATTAATGTCTTTCATTTTCTGTCCCTTTCAGTATCAAACAGAGGAAGTATCGTGTACTTTGTTATTGTTGAGATGAGCTTGGTCAACATCATGTACCAGACTTCCTTGAAACAGTTCCTGGAACTTTTCGACCTGTCTATGGCTAATTCCCAGAAATCCCCCATCACCAGCAAGCGTATCAATAACATCATCGAGTACTTGACCTATGAAGTATTCAAATACACAGCCCGAGGTCTGTATGAGGTAGACAAGTTCTTATACACCACTCTCCTGACTTGTAAGATTGAGTTGAATGGTGGCAGGATCCGTATGGAGGAATTCCAGACCTTCATCAAAGGAGGTGCCGCATTGGATTTAAACGCAGTGGAGCCCAAACCCAAGAAATGGATCTCAGATATCACCTGGCTTAACTTGGTAGAGCTCAGTAAACTAGGACAGTTTAGCCAGATCTGTGGTCAAGTGGCTAGGAATGATAAGGTAGGGAGACGTTCTAATTAGGAACAGTGTTACTATATCATGCAGAGATTTTACATGCATAAGTTAATTTTAGAGTTTCAGCTTTCTTTGTAATTAATTAAGCTGATTGTCATTTTAAGCTCAACTGGGCTAAGATGAGAGTGAAATTTTCTAATCAAAATTTCTGCATACTAATCAGTGAAGCTAGGGATGGGGTTAGACGAGGGGTCAACATTTTTCTTTGAGAAAAAAAGGGGGAGGGATATTTTTTTAATTCAAAATAAAAAACAGCAGGACAAGACGCAGTCAACATTTTTCTTTGAGTAAAAAGGGGGGATTTTTTTTTAATTCTTTTTTAATTTTTTAGTCTTGTGGTCTTCTTTAGAAAATTTATAGATGGGTAATTTAAGTTACCTGTATGATATTTCATTCAATAGGCCTGGAAGAACTGGTTTGATGACGATGCTCCAGAAGAGTGCACTATTCCAGATGGCTACTCCACAACTCTGGATACATTCCGTAAGCTGCTCCTGATCCGATCCTGGTGCCCAGACAGAACAGTGCCCATGGCTAAAACTTACATTGCTGAGGCTATGGGTCCCAGGGTAGGTGTCTGTGATGTCTTCTTAAGAGTTTACATTTTAAAGCACAAGTAAATTATTTCAAATCTCTATGTAATTTTAATAGGATAGGAAAGTTCCAGTTGGAATACTGTGATTTAGTCAGCATTTTGCGAAAAAAAAACCCCACATGAGTCAGTAAGGAAAATTTAAACTAATGATTTAATTTCATGTTTCCAGTTTGCAGAGAGCGTCATTTTGAACTTGGAGGAAATGTGGAAGGAATCTAACATCAGGACCCCCATGGTTTGCTTCCTGTCCATGGGATCTGACCCGACAGAGAACATCATGGGTCTGGCCAAGAAGAAGAACATCAAATGTGGCTATATCTCCATGGGTCAAGGTCAGGAGGTGCACGCCCGCCGCCTCATCTCCGCCTCCATGCAGGATGGGTCCTGGGTCCTGCTACAGAACTGTCACTTGGGTCTGGACTTCATGGACGAATGTCTAGATACAGTCAGTCCATATATTTTTCTTTCACAGCGTTTGTTAATTTTCATTATGTTAATGTACAGACCACTTTCTTTTAGAGATCATAAATTACAGTTTAAAATTTCTTTAAGAATCTCAACTCTTTTCATGTAGCTCAATGCAGCCAACCCTATGATTTATAAGTGCAAAAAAGTCTTAATGAGTGCAGATATTTTGAGAGAAAAATCATTTGTTGAATGGTTTAGAACTAACATATTCTTTGTCACTTTAGGTCATCACAGCTGAAAATGTAAATGAAAACTTCCGTATTTGGATGACAACTGAGGAACACAAGAAGTTCCCAATCAACCTGCTGCAGAGCTCTATCAAGTTCACCAATGAACCTCCACAGGGCGTCAAAGCCGGTCTGAAGAGGACATACGCTCTCATTACTCAGGTTTGTTATCATGTGGCTTTTTAGATAGAACCATTTTTTTACAAGCAAAGTTGCACAAATCTTTTTTTTTCAATATTTTACACACAAGCCTAGAGCATCTTTTGAAGCTTGAAATTGGTTTTAGGCTAAAAGAGTTGATAAGATGACCTTTTTTCTCAGAGAAAGTAGTAATATTCTTCAATAAATTCACTATACCTGTAAAATTGATGAAAATCTTTAATATTGATGTCATTGTTGTACAGGAACAACTGGAATACACAAACCTGCCGCAGTGGAAGCCAATGTTGTACGGCGTGGCCTTCCTTCACACAACAGTACAGGAGAGGAGGAAGTTCGGACCCATCGGATGGAACATCCCCTACGAGTTTAACCAGGCCGACTTCACCTCCACTGTACAGTTCATACAAAACCATCTGGACGACATCGATCCAAAGAAGGTCAGTCAGTCAAGTACAAGTAGTGCTGTGATATTAATTATTGACTGTAATTCTTTATCTGAGCATTTTCTTTCAAATTTATCTGATTAATTGGTGTAAATAAAATGAGGATTGAAGGCAATCAAATTTATATACTGTATATTTGTCTTGTATTGAGTATATTCAAGAAGACCTTTTAATATTTTTCTTGCTTCTATGTCTGTTGTACAGGGTGTGTCTTGGAACACTGTTAGATACATGGCAGGAGAGGTACAGTACGGAGGTCGTGTCACAGACGACTATGACAAGCGACTTTTGAACACCTACTGTAAAGTGTGGTTCAGTGAGGCCATGTTCTCTGACAGCTTCCAGTTCTACACTGGATACAAGATCCCCAAATGTAAGAACCTGGATGAATACAGAACGTACATAGAGACTCTGCCGCTAAGAGACTCCCCAGAATGCTTCGGTCTGCACTCCAATGCTGACATCACGTAAGTGTTTTTAGGGAAATGATACCTCTCTGTTCTCTCTTAATCTACACTGAGATATAAATAAGCTATGTTAGATGCTGATTTCATATGATTGTTAGTTTTTGTGTTGCTGTGACCAAATTTATCACTGGTATTGCAATTTTGAATTCTCAGTAAAAGAGAAAGTGCTGCACAAAGAGGGCACACACTAATGGAATGTTGAATTCTTTAGATACCAGACTAACACAGCAAACACCATGCTTGCCAACATTGTGGACATTCAGCCTAAGGATGCCGGCGGTGGTGGTGGTGAGACCAGGGAGACTGTGGTGTACAGACTGGCAGACGACATGTTGGAGAAACTGCCACAGGACTATATTCCTCATGAGGTATGCTGACTGTAATATATAGATATTTAAGGATTTAAATGAAAGGAGAACATGCTAGCTGATCTGTTATACGAGTAGGAGTAGAGGAATATTATCATTTCACTCAGAAAAATTGATTCCATGACTGAGTTTGAAGAATAAAAAAACCAAGTAACTGCAGCTCTACTTATACAAGTAGTTAAAATATTTTCAGAAAAAACTTAATGAAGCATAATTGTTATCTTAGAATATTAATTGTTATCTTAGAATATTTTTAAAAATTGGGTAAAATGAAATACATGTGTATGTTTCCTTAACAGGTGAAAGAGAGACTGAAGAAAATGGGCCAGCTTCAGCCAATCAACATCTTCCTTCGCCAAGAGATTGACAGAATGCAGAAGGTCATCACTTTAGTCCGTAACACACTACTGGACCTAAAACTGGCCATTGATGGAACCATCATCATGAGTGAGAACCTTCGCGATGCTCTAGACAACATGTTTGATGCCCGTGTCCCCACGAACTGGAAGAAGATCTCCTGGGAGTCTGCCACTCTCGGTTTCTGGTTCACGGACTTACTGGACCGTAACCAGCAGTTCTCCACCTGGTTGTTTGAGGGCCGTCCAACGTCGTTCTGGATGACTGGGTTCTTCAATCCACAGGTAGGGATGTCACTGTATAACTGCTAAACAATGAAAGTAAAAGTTTGTAGGCTTGTATTCTGTCAGTATATTTTTTTTAAGAGTTAAATGGTTAAATTTAAATTGTGTTTCTTCTTTGGTGTAGGGTTTCCTGACAGCCATGAGGCAGGAGATCACCAGAGCTCACAAGGGCTGGGCTTTAGATGCTGTAGTCCTGGACAATGACATCACTAGAATGATGAAGGAGGACATCCATAGCCCTCCTAATGAAGGTCAGTCTCACTCAATTATACTATATTTTAATTGTGATGTAGGTCATGGAGAGAGTATAAAAGTATACATGTATATTTGCTCTCCTGTTCAAATGGTGATATAGATTTCAACTTGACAACTGACCTAGATTCTTTTTAATGTATAGATATTTTCTATGTACAGGTAAACTTTGTTATCTCGACATCGACGGGACAGTCGGAAAATGTTGAGATATCCGAGGTGTCGAGATATCAGAGTTGAGACTCGACGTCCTTAATTTTTAATACTTCATACTAAAACCATAGACATGAACAGACGTACCTACAGGTACCTACATGTCTTCAATTAGACTGTAGCTCGTTTGTTTCAGTTATCCTTCTATATTTATTAGAAAATCTAAGAAGTTATTCACAAATGTTATTTATGAAATGCTTTCTTTTTTATCGAAATCTTATCATTTTACTAAAAACCGTTTTCCATCCAGCATTCGATCCGCGTGTCACTAGCTCTGTTAGAACAGGATACGAAATGCGCTCTATAAACTCCAAACTGGAACGGTACAAAGTCAACTTCCGAGATACGAAAAAAAAAATAATGCATATAATTTTTAATTTATTTCATTTCACTTCTTTTTTATTTCATAATCATTCATCAGTAATTTTCATTTTATTTTCAATGCAAAATTTAATTGGAATTGCGCATTTAACAACATATGCAGCCATATTACAGCTGATGCAATAATCGTGCATGCCGTAGATTTGATTGATTCCTGTTGAATTTTGACCCCAATATTTAAGTTAAATTGAATTCAGTGTGTATATTCATTGTTATTCGGTTACTTTTTTAAATAAAATGTTTAAGTTTTGTTTGATTTCGACATAAAAAACCGTTTTACATTTACGCAGAATCGAGAAGATTTATCAATGATATTACCCAAGCTGAACATTAAACATTTTAATTAACGTATTAGAGACGCCGAGGGGGCTTGGGATTCCTCTACAAACACATTTCTACAGAGTATTATGTAGTCAAAACATGGGTGTGAAAGGTGTGAATTTCTGCCGACGTCGAGATACACGGAGTCGCCCGTGCGTGACGAGCGACCAACTGACAAACAATTAGGTTAAGTAGAGCAGAAAATTGCCCCAATGTCGACATATACCAGGTAAATTTTGCTCTTGGGACTGTGAAATACATCGAGATAAGCGGGGTAGTCGACATTACCGAGGTCGACATATCCGAGTTTTTGCAAATCATTTATATAGTAAAAAATGCCGGGACCGCGGACAGACGTCGACATATCCCAGGTTGTCGACATATCCGATGTCGAGATACCGAAGTTTACCTGTAATTTATTAGAAAGAAATTTTTCAAATATGAAATCTAAAATTTTCCTTGTCAATTTAGGTACCCGGTATTAAATTTATTAATATTTGAAATCCTACATTTAATTTCAGCAGTAAATTTTGAATTTAACTATTATGCTGTTTGTCAATACAGGTGTGTATATTTTTGGATTGTACCTGGATGGTGCCGGATGGGACCGCAGAAACTGCCGTCTGGTTGAGCCCACCCCTAAGGTTCTGTACACATTACTACCCGTCGCCCACGTCTTCGCTGTAAATGTTGACAAACCGGGCAAGACCACCAATCTGTACGAGTGCCCAGTGTACAAGAAGCCCAGGCGTACAGACTTGACCTACATCTTCCCACTAGCACTGAAGACCAACAAGAATCCAGACCACTGGATCTTGCGTGGAGTTGCTCTGTTGTGCGACATCAAATAAACTGCAGTCGGACTATTGCTAAATCTTACCTTGCGAGTCTATGTTTTTTCTGTGTGGAGTTTTGCCATTTCTGACTTTATGAGATGTGTTTGAGTGACAATATAATTTGGGCATAATAACAAAAGCTGTGCAAGTTTCCATTTTTTTTCGTACAAGAACAAAACAAATGTGATAAACCAATTAATTTCCATCTTGTGTGTTTTGTATACAGTCTGATATTTTTTATGAATTCCGTCCAATTATTCTTTTAACCAGAACAGTATTTTTTGGTATTTATTTATTTTCTTTGAGTGTTCTATTTTTGTATCCTTCCCTCTTCATTTTCCACTACAATATCTTAATGCAAAAACTATACAAATAAACACAATTTTGTCTTTTCAATGAGTATACATATTTATATTTTGTTTATTTATTTACTCCATTTGTTGTTATACATGCACGAAAATTGTTGTTTTTTTGTTACATGTTTACATGATATAAAAATATGCTAAATTTTGTGTTGATTTGAAACAATAAAATATAACATTTACCAAGGTTTTTATTTAATTTTATCAGATTATTGCAAAATACATGACAGGAGTGAGGACAAATTTGTATACTGTAGACTAGCTCCGAGATTTACATATAGAGTCGAACCTGAATTGTTTTCTTGAACTCAATCGGACTGAGAAAAAACTTCAAGATATCTGAGGATTCCAGATATCAAGGGTATAAAATAAAGAATAAATGCTTGGGACTTCCAAACCATTCCGACGTATCCATTATTTGAGATATCGATATCAGTGTTTGAATTAACGATGTTCATCTGTATGAGGATGATTTGAAAAGGCCTCCTAGTCAACTGCTTGAACTCGTTCATAATAATGACACTGCTTAATATATGATATTTTTTATATTATACTTTCATGTAAATTACTTGAATCTGATTCGTTGAGAAACATTTGTTAAAAAACACTATTACCTGCTGAATAATGAAGCAACGCCCTCCTGCGTAGCAACAGTCAACATTGTTTGACGACGGGTGGTATTCCAAAAAATAGCAACTGAGCAGAATTTATGCGCGCACGGTTCACTGTTATATGTATTTGTATAAAACATTCAGTATAATATAATAAATATTGCATGTAGTTGAGTGTAACATTAAAAATTTTCACCCCTCGAAAACCATTGCGCCTCGGTTGACAATGGTTTTCTTAGGGTGAAAATTTTCAATGTTACACTCAACTACATGCAATATTTATATAATGCCCCTGGATCCCAAGATCCCTGGGGGTATACCGGTTTTGTCCTGTCTGTCTGTATGTTGTCATTATTTACCTAGCCTATAACTATTGAGTGGGTGGGGCTATGGCTTTGATATTTCACATGTGTTTTCCTTGTGACAATACCTTTCCATGGGTACCACCAAATTTGACCTCTTGACCTTGGAGTTTGACCTACTTTTACAAAAAAGATACACTTTAACCTTGGCCATAACTTTTGAACAATTGGAGCTAGGGCTTTCATCCATCACATGTGTACCGGTATTCATGGTAACAAGACCTTTCAGCTGGTATAAGAAATTTTGACTGAAGAGTTTGACCCACTTTTAAAAAACTTCAACCTTGATCATAACTTTTGAACAGTTAGAAATAGGACTTTCATATTTCACAGGTATATTCTTCGTATCGAGACCTTCCTTTGGGTACTAACACTTTTGACCTTGACGTTTGGAGTTTGACATGCATTGAGAGAATTCAACCCTCGCCATAAGCTGCCATATGGGGGCATTAGTGTTTCACAAACACATCTTGTTATTACATTACATATGATTTAGTCAAAGTTTAATAAAAATTCATACACTATTTTTTTAGGAAAGTTATAGACTAATATAAATGGATTGATGCAAGCCACACAGCCCATTCTCATGTTCAGCTAGTTTCATGATGTCAAGAATGTGTATTTTGGAATATTTTTTATATATTTGTGGATACAAGTCATTTTTTTCATTATTCCTCGCTGCTTAGATTGTGCAGTAATTGAATAATTTTGAAAATTCAAATTTACAATATACCTGATCATTGTTAACACAATCCAATAAATTAATGCCATGTCATGAATATAAGGATGTCCTTTATTCATCAAATAACACAGGTAACTCAGGTGTGAAAAATGACCATCTAATTGCCCATTTGTGAGTTATCGTTTTTAGGAATGACATACAGGCTTCAAGTTTTTTAATTCTTTTAGTTTCTTCAATATTTTTTAGAAGAATTTCCTTGCCTCAATGTACTGGTGAGCGATGTAGCCCACAAGCCTCTTGTTTTCCTTAACGTGTGTTCAGGGATAATGAAAATACCAGAAATTGATGAGAGCTGCTTTACAGGAACATATTTTATGTTTAGTTAATAATAATAGGTTTGATGAAAATAACCATTTTAATCAATCATTTAAAAACTTGAAATCCTAACCCACCCCCCAAAAAAATTAAATTCATAAAACATTATGCAAACTACTTTGAATTGAATTTTCAAAACTAAACTATAAACTATTTTCATTTGTATATGTAATAATGAATATTTTAGTTATTTTTATCAACCCCTATATAATTAAGCCCCAAATTTCTCAACAGTTTGAAGCATTTCACTGTAGTTTTCTCACCTGTGTAGACATACATCTTACAAATCGTGTTACTCAGTCATGATGGAATTGTCAAATTTTACACAGTTTGCCTGAGCCAGGAGAGAAGTATCATAAATCTACAAGTCAATGCATTATTTACAAAGCAGGAAATGCACATAAAACTAGTGCTAATTGTAACGGGGACCGTTACAGATGTTCCCCAAATGCTCCCCAACTCCCTTTTTGGTGCCATATTCCCTGTAAGCTTCATTAAATAAGACAGACTCTGTGCATTTTTGCTTTTAACAACGTTTTCCCAAAAGGATACCAGTTATATTCAAATTTTTGCATTGCACCCCAGCGCATGTGAATGCATGTGAGTTATGACCATATCATCTTGTCTACACTATCTATATATTTTAATATACTATATATTAAAGCATTCCGTCCAAAAGTAATAAACATCACTCATTCAAGTGTATTTTTAATTATACTCGTTCTAAATGCACGCACGTGCGTGCACGTGATTGATGACCATACCTTCTTGTAGGAGTCCCTTACATCGATCTATGTTCTAAATCCAATCCGGTTCGGTAGAAAAACAAGGGAGTTATAGCCATTTCAAGTTTCAGCCAATCAGATTGCAGCACACATGCATGTGCGTGATTTCATGATTTTTTTCTATACGATATTGTAGGTTATCCTAATGCATGACTATATTTTAAATTTCAAAGAATTTCGTCAAAAAACAAAGGATATATAGCCATTTAAAGTTTCAGCCAATCAGATTGCAGCACGCGCAAATGTGCATGCTTTTATGAAAATTCTTTTATATCATGCTGTAGATCTTCATAATGTAGCACTATGTTCAAAATTTCAAAGGATTATGACAAGAAACAAGAAAGATATTGAGACTTTAGTTTCAGCCAATCAGAGCGAAGCGCACGTTCATGCGCGTGAGATCTTGTATTTTGACCATGCTATCTTGTCTATACTTCTAATGTATCCTTACATTATGAGTTTCAAAAAATTTCATCAAAAAATAGAAAAGTTACGGCAATATCCATTATATTGGTCATTTCACGTGTTGCACGTGCACGCTCTTGCAAGCACGTGCGCGCAAAATGACCTTGATTCCGCAAATCTACATAACATGTCTACTGACCCTAAAAAGGTTTTACCTACATCGGACGAACAGTTTACAAGATCACTCCCGGACAAAAAAGTACCCAGGAAGAAGAAGAAGAAGAAAAATAATAATAACTAGAGCCGAGCTCGTTGCAAAGCAACGAGTAGGTCTTCCGTCCTGTTTTACCGGAAGTAACTTTCATTTAAAAAAATAAAGAGTAATGAAGTCAAAAAATGGTTTAATCCTCTAAATCTATGTTAATTATTGCAAAATTAAGCCATTTCTGGCTACTTCCGGTTTGACCGGAAGTGACGTCGACGGACGGAAAATTAAGATTTAAGCTTCCATTGACATATGGTATCCAAAAACCTGTCAAGAACAGCAAAAATATGCAATTTTTGACTACTTCCGGTTTGACCGGAAGTGACGTCGCCGGACGTTTTTTGACGACGCCATTAGATAAAGCTTGATATTTTGAACAACTTTGCTTCTTTGACGTATTACAAATTCTCAATACTTTTTGAGATATAAAGAAAAAACTTTTGGCCCCTCTAGGCCCTTATTGTTAGGGGCCAGCCCTTTTTTCGAGATATCATTTGAAAGATCTTGTAATTCTACACTTCTTTTGTTCTACATGTCTTAACAAAATATTTCTAGGTAAAAAGTTATCCTTGAAAAGGTGTCAAAATTTTTGAAATTCTTCATAGGACTATTTTCGCGCCATAGCGAGCGTCGGCGCTTCGTATTTCCGGAAGTTGTAATATACTCAATTCACTTCTCCAAAGGTTGCTCTATCATCACTGAAAATTTCATACTTCTATCTTCAACGGTTTTTGAGAACATTGCCGGACAATGTGACCCTCTAAAAATGACAAAATCGCGAAAATCTCCGAACCGGAAGTGACGTCATCAAAATAAAAAATTTTATTTCTAGATTTTTTGATGTTCTATCAGACCTGAAAGTTTCATGAAAATCCATCCAGCCGTTTCCGAGAACTCGCGTGCACAAAATCGGTAAGAAAAAAAATAATAATAAGAAAAATAGTGGAAAAGAAACCTAAGAAAAACAATAAGGTCTTCCGCTGAAGACGGAAGACCTTAACTAGAAAAGAAACTCGTTGCGAGCAACGAGAGGTCTTCCGTCCGATTCTGAAAAAAAAACCCCGCAAAATCGAGCTGAAAAAGTGATAAAACTTTTTATGGAAACAAAGGGGATTGAACCCGGGTCGCCAGAATGAAAATCCAAAGCGCTTACTATTATGCTATTAAGACCACAGCTCTAAATCAACTTGTATATACTTCTGAAACAGTACATCTGTCTTAGAATAATGAAAGGTGGGTTACTATTCAAAATTTAGCGCCAAACGCCTCAAGTGAATCTTCGCGCCTTTTCTTTGGAATGTCCCATTAAATAGGTGTGATAGCTTCAATGGAAATAAAAAAGAACGTTCTTATAGCTAAAGTTTCAAAGTAAAGAAATTGTTTGTAACACATTTACAAATTCTATGACATAAATAGATAAGTAACACTAAATCAATGAAACTGCTATAATTTTTTTACTTTTTTACTTTAAACATATTTTATTGAGTATAATTCAATCAGGATTGGGCAACAGGCAATGCCTATGTAAACCCTCTCCTTTATATATACTCCTTTTTTACTTTTTTAAATTCCTGTTTATCCCCATACTAAACTATCTCGATTAGTTAAACTTTCATGAAAAGGTTGAAATGTTTCGCCGAAAAACATGTGTCGCCCTAAGACGGTAAAGGAATCAGATACCATTTATGTTCAATAACTTAAATCATATCTTTGAGACAAGAATATTCATATAAACTCAATTCTTCAAAAAAATCTTTTTCTTATGTTTGTCTTTCCTATTAGTTTAATATGACTCAAGTGTGCATGAGCAAAACAGTGGATACGTTTAATACTTACTATATATACATCAATATTGTTTCTTAAAACTATTATTTGTAGCTATGATTTAAGATCTGTTTTTTCCGCAAAACAAATGATAGTAGGTATGTATTTCATTTGCACATTTAGTCTTTTCTTTTTCTACTTTGAGAACCAGCCGAAACCAATTATAGAAGACGTTTGAGACGACCATGGATTTAAACTTAGTTTGACACAGAATTGCAACGTAACTACATCGTGACAATCCCCGTATTCCTTTACATTTTATTTATCCTTATTTACTTTCGTTCAAGCAAACGCTTGGCTGCCTCTGAAAACCCCTATTGCGAAATGTCGGAGTTGACATAGACAGCCGCCATATTGGGCCCGCTTCAGATTTTTAAATGCTAATATCTAGAGTTTGGATTTATCAATATTCAAACAAATTATATAGTAAGCATTGTAAGAAAGGTCTCTATTAACATTCCAAAAATGAATGAAAAATATTGAAAAATAAAAAAGTTAGAAAATATGGACTTTTTAAATTCGCTTTCGCTAGCGACCGGAAGTACTGACGACACACAAAAAGGTGATTTCACATATCTAAAAGTCATCATCTATCATCTCTAACAAGTCTTTAGTTAATATCTTAGACCATTTTCGTAAAAAAGGGGGGACAAAAATCCATTTCAAAATCAGAAAACTGTCAATAACTTGGAACCAAAGGTGAGCATTCCAAATTTTCCTTCTGATGAACAAAGTTCATATAATGACGCATAATTCCTGAAAGTTTCATTGAAAACAACCGAATAGTTTTCGAGAAATCGCCTGCACAAAATTTTGGGGAAAAAAATAATAATAATAATAATAATAATAATAATAAGAAACAGTAGAATCACTAGAAGGTCTTCCGCTGAAGACGGAAGACCTTAATAAGAAACAGAGTAAAAACAATATGTTCCTCAACTTCGTTTGGGGAACATAATAAGGAATAAATGCACAAAATCTAAGACCATCCACCACAAAAAGAATATGTGTACTACATGTCGGCCATGAGTTTCAAATGTACAATCTGATGTGTCGAAATTGAAGATTTCATAAACTTGTGTGACAGTGCCTATTTAATTTATGAGTAATGTTCAGCCTTAAGTTGATGTTTAATAAATTGGTAGCGGCCAGCCTAGTCAGGTATGAAACTACGTACGGCTCTGCATATTGATTTATCCTCTGAAAATAATTGCAACAGTACAACATAGTGAGCAGGTGATAATATTTAATTGATAAGAAAACATAAACACAAATATAAGAACTGATGAACAAAGAAGGGAGAGACTAGACTGAAAAAACAAAAATAAACAATTTCCAACAAAAAAAGTCCCAAAACTTAACATTTGTCTGCTTGAATTTTACATTTTAAGACTTTAGTTCATTTTCATAGACACAAGATTAGAAAAAGAAAGGATCGACTGATGTTTGCAGTAAACTTAATGATTTTTTATGCATACAGAAGAATATGAAAGCATCTCTACAGTTAAATGTAACAATGACAAACAATAGATAATACAATTAACAATAAATATGCCATAACTTAAATGTCTAATATTGCTAAATATGTAACAATTACCAAAAGCATAAAATCTGCCCAACCCAACTGTCTACATTTATTATACACTTAAGGTCAATATCAATACAATACTTAAACGATATTTTAAAGTCCAAGTCTAATGCTCCACTTTCAAAATACATGTAAGTGTGTGCAAATTTTTTCTAAATAAATAAATTTGTCAGATCTATTCCTTCAGTAATGAAATATCTCAAGTATACAAACAGTCATATATGATGATTGCATATCTTATGTCTAAAAACTTAAACACACAATATATCACACATCAGTGACATTTATATTATTACTTGTAAATCTTATTTCTATTGTGAAAACTTCATGATCTTATAAATGAATTAAAGGGTAAAAAAAAGTTTTTTTGATAATGATAACAAGAATCAAATGATATTTCTTAGCAAAGAAAAAGACACAAAAATTTGCCTCAAGAATTATGCTATTGTCAAACAAAATAAAATTAGGTATCAGATTTAAGCAATCTATAACTAGAACTGTCCAATCGGGACAAAATACCCCCCGCTGGGTTTTTCAGAAGTAAGTTTTTGTATAATAAAGATATGTATCAAACACGAATTATAAAATTTTTCTTCCAGTGACCTTGAACTTCCCCAAATGACCTTGGGTCAAGGTCATGACACACCCTTGGGTCATGGGCAATCTTTGAGTGAAATAAGAACCTACCAAGTTTATCAATAAGAAAGATATGGACCAGACACGAATAATTAAATTTTTCTTCCAGTGACCTTGAACTTCCCCAAATGACCTTGGGTCAAGGTCATGACACACCCTTGGGTCATGGGTAATCTTTGTATGAAATGAAAACCTACCAAGTTTATCCTTAAGAAAGATATGCACCGGACACGAATTATTAAATTTTTCTACCAGTGACCTTGAACTTCCCCAAATGACCTTGGGTCAAGGTCATGACACACCCTTGGGTCATGGGCAATCTTTATGTGAAATGAAAACCTACCAAGTTTATCCATAAGAAAGATATAGACCGGACACGAATTATGAAATATTTCTTCCAGTGACCTTGAACGTCCCCAAATGACCTTGGGTCAAGGTCATGACACACCCTTGGGTCATGGGCAATCTTTGTGTGAAATGAGAACCTACCAAGTTTATCCATAAGAAAGATATGGACCGGACACGAATTATGAAATTTTTCTTCCAGTGACCTTGAACTTCCCCAAATGACCTTGGGTCAAGGTCATGACACACCCTTAGGTTATGAGCAATCTTAATGTGGAGTAGTAGATTCTAATGTCCCTCTGTAAGAAAGATATGGACCGGACACGATTGCACAGACAGATGGACAGAAGGACAGACAGACAGACGGACAAGGTGATTCCTATATACCCCCCCAAACTTCGTTTGCGGGGGGTATAAAAAAGTCCAGATATAATGAGGAAACAGGCTAAAATTGTAAAGTATTTGCAAGGAGCTTTTCAACAAAACCAACCAACAGAGTTTCATTTACGATAATTTCCCTATGCTCCACTTTTCCGCTTCAGGTTTTCAAATGAACACCTCTATTGCACAACTAATATGTTCAACTGCACTATCTGTACTGTTAACAAGTCAAACCACCTTACAAGTGAATTTAACACAAAATTCTTCAGTACAGAAGCACCAAGCAAAATCACAGTCAACAATTTATATTGAACAGATCAACAATAAATGCATTTTTACCTTTTTTTTTAATTATATGAGCTTCAGATCAAGAAATTGAAACTGAAGAGCTATGTCTTAACCTTTTTTTGTACCATAACACAACACATAAAATGAATTGAATCACCCATAAAAAAACTTTTTGCATCATTTTTCTGACTGCAAATGATGCACTGTATAACAACATGCTGAGCTAGCATTAGTAATCTATCATACAGATGAATCTGAAGTATCCCAGTTCGTGATTTCTTAACCTGATACAATGTCTGATGACAATCACTGGATTATCAGCAATGAAGCAAAAATTCTACAATGTACAATAAAACCCGCTTATAACAAACTGCAAGGGATGAATGATTTTGCTTCACTATAAACGTAATTTGATATGTCTGTTAAGTTCCCAATATATCTTAAAGCCATGGGGAATGAAAATCACTTCACTGTAAACATTAATTGGTTCTAACCGTGTTCGCTATAAGCATGTTTAACTGTACAATCATTATAAAGATTACAATCATTATAACATAAGTATAATCTAAGTTATAATTCCTTGTCATTCTAATGAACAGTATTTCTTTTTATAAAAAAAAAAAAATACATGTAGATGGAGAGAGCATAAAATAGTTTCAAATTTATCTTTACTTTTCTAACTTAAAACATTTTAAGAACTGCATTTGGCACGGTGGTCTTAACAATCTGTATCTTAAACATCCCTGCTGTTATATTCTGTGTAAAATAATAAACTATAATCCTTTATAAACAACAAAAAGGCACATGAGGGTAATGGTATGAATACATGTACATACACACAATAAAAGAAATAAACCATTTGTCGTCTCAAACATGCATATTTTAAAATAAGAACAAAATGTCTTTATACTGTTATAAAACCAAAATGACTCTTACTACTTTTATAAAACAAACTCCTTTTAAACATCTGTATCAGAACAGATTTTTTAAATGCATAACATATAACCAAACTTCTATAAATGCTTAACCTAAAATATTGTTGTATCTAAAATTGCCCCAGAAGTGTTTTCAATGAGAATTATGATGCAATTTTACTTTACAACCATTGGTTTCATTTTCTGATTGGTTTAATAATATGATAAACCTTTTATTTTTGTTATTATCATGTAAATCAATAATGCCCTACTAATTTAAGCTTTAATAATCTCTACATACCAATCAAACTTAAAACATTATAGTTAGCAAATGTATCTCTATTAAGCTCATCTGATTTAAATGAAAATTGTTAAGTTTATAAAAAATATTTAATTATTAAATATTTAATTATTTACTCTCCTATACAAGCATATAACGATATAGAAAATCTTAATTTTTTCTGAAATAAAAGCAAAATTATTTTCTGCGGTAAATATATATACACTTGCATAAGTGTGTGATGTAGAAGGTGTGTGTGTGTGTAATTATACAACCATTTAGACACATCAATGTTCACTGTAATAAATACATTCCACAATATCCATCTTTAAAACAACGATTTCAGTAAACATGAGATTTCTTAAAAATAAATTGGCATGCTCAGTTGTTCAATCAAAAGACTCCAAAAGTGTGCTAAAACAATCTATCTTTTACATGAGACTAGATATGAATCAATTTTAATAGCAATGATTTTTTAGCACTGTTCCCAAGATAAGTGATAGGAGTTGTCTCCCCCTGTTTTTACTTGTGTCACCAGAGGGAGGAGTCGTTGCTTGAGGTGGGGTTATTATTCCGCCCCGTGCGGGGTGTGGCCTGTGGGGTGGGGTCCTTACTACTCCGACCGTAGCTGAAGCCCTTTGATGTGTAGTTGGAATTCCAGGTGGCGGTACTACCTGTAAGGTACATTTTATCTGTACAGCCTGATTATCAAAAAATAGAGGACTACATCCTTTCATTCACTATCTCTAAAGGTGAGGATTAAAAATATAAATACTGCTTTGTGGTACAAAAAATCTCATATCAGAATTAAACTTAACATTTCAGCTTCATTTTTTGCAACATTACATATTCCATTACAATGAATTATAATACATGTTCATACTTTTAATTATGCTAACTAGGCTATTAAAATACTTTCTTTGCATTCATTGTGCACATGAACTCATTCTTTATAAATCATAAACTGTTTAATTTTTTAAAAAAGAATTTGGAGACGGATCACATCTAAATACTACAAAGTGAACTTCAGAATCTACTGACCGTGAGCATTACTGCTTATGTTGGAGTTTGGCGATCCAAATCTGGAGTCATTCTTATCTGTAAATAAAACATACAAAAGTCAGGTACAACAGGTATAGGGATGTTCACATTCCAAATCTGGAGTCATTCTTATCTGTAAATAAAGCATACAAAATTCTAGTATAACAGGTAGGATGTTCACACTTTTCTACTCTTTGACAAACATTTTCATAAAATATATTGCTTATACAAGTACACTTGTCCATTGTATGAAAACCCAAGAGAAATATTTTTGAAAAGTTCATGTTTAAAAATCAATTCCATAGAATCAAAATGTCTGAATATAGTACACCAATTACTTAGTATTATTTGTGACAATTCAGCCTGGGATCTATTGACGGCTGCTAATGTTTGTGACTGAGGCAACATTCAACATTAATACAGGACAAGAAATATCCACGACTAAAAGAAGCTTAAGGTCACAGAAATTCACAGATATTTCTTGCCTGTGATTAAAAGTTAGTTCACAGTATTATAAATTCCATTTCGAGAATAAAAATCTAAAAGTGAAAAAAATGTTTGTTTTCCCATTATGTACTTACAGTACTGTATACTACTGTCATACAATTAAAGATTATTTACTGTAAGTTATCAATTGAAAAAAGTGGAAGAATGTAGCTCTGCTATGTAAATGATGATTAGTATTACAAATGCCCATCAGAAAGACTGGCTATTACGCTGCATAAATAATTCATCCCCTCTGAGAGATACGGAACATAATATCAGGACATATCTATAATTAATCCATCAAGAGCATTTCATCATACTGTATATACTGATGAGATTTTTTTTCTTACCTGACAAGTATCATATTAAACATATCTTAAAGAAAGAAGATAAATTTTTTTTTCAAAAATCTTGGAAATTTCAATTTTATTGGAGTAAAATGAATAATGTTTACCACACAGATTTTAATTTTTTTTCATTCAAAGATCCATGAGGATGGGATTTAAAGTGACAAAAGGTTAATATATAGATTTGCATGAGAAAGGTGGAATTTTTAACATACATGTACAGGTACTAGAAAGTGTATAATTCCTTAATATTTAAGAAATTTATTACTGGTAATCACATAATTTACAATTAAAATAGGTCCAAAATAATGTATTAAAATGCAGACATCCATTTTTTTTTTGTATTAACTGTGGTTAAAATCTTGTTTCTTATTTAAGTGGATCACTTGTTATCACAAGTACTGTAAGTATCCTAACAGTGACACTAAGTACTGTACACTTTAACACTATCTACCTAACAGTGACACTGAGTGCTTTCCTTATTGTTTTCTTCTTGTAATACTTATGTGAGCTACTTAACACACCAAGCTTCCTTATTGTTTCAGCTACTTGACAAAAAGCCCCTTTACAATTTCAAAAATCTACTCCTATTATCATTCAACATAATTTTTTACAAATAAGTTATTAAAACCTGATTAAAATTTTATAATACACTATCAACAATTATATTCAATTTCAATTTTATTATGGGTGCTATCCATTCCAGGGTTGTCCCAGAGACCCCCAACTATAATGACACAATCCCTTGATTATTCCTCCAGATCCCCTCAAATTCTAATTTTTTTTTTTTTTAAAATGTTCCCTGCTATTTAAAATCTTATGGACAACCCTGCATTCATATTTTCTGTGTGTGTGTGTGGGTGGGGTGGGGTGGGGGTGGGGGTTAGATCTACCTTTCATTCCCCCATATCTGGAGTAGTATGAAGAGTTGGCCTTCAGATTGAGTCCATCTGTTGGGTTTAGGAGTCCACCACTGGCCGACACATTCTTCTTTATGCTCCAAACATCATCCATGTCAAACTTTGAACCTGAAATCAATTAAAAAAGTGTTTTCAATTTCAACCAATTTTAAGCTATTGAAATCAAAAGATTTAGTAAATAAGTATGCTTCAAATTTTATATTGTTTTCATAATTTCATCAAGTTAAACTTGTTTTAAAAATCCCATCCTTTTCACAAATATGATGCATATTGAAAATCATACCACTGTTCTTGAAGAAATTTGAATGTTCTTATCAAACATTGACCTCTTCTTTTTTTGTCGATTAATTCTAGAATTTTTAAAGCCAATTTAAATTGAACACCTCAGCCTTCTTATGTATACAGAAAATTGTTAATTTATATGACTGATTTCAGTCCATCTATTACAGTAGATTTTCCCTGCATATTCTGATGTTTACCCCATCTATAGCCCAACTCTAACATGAGAGATACCGGTAAATGATTTTAACAAACTTTAATCTACATTACACCATATTTAATAAGTTTACTGAAGACATTAAAATCTTGTTTCTACTATCCACATGATTCTGAAAAATATGATTTAAAAATGACCCAATATTTTCTCCACTTAAAATGGCCCTCAGCTGGCTAAATCAAAAGCTCTTTTATCCTAGGAATCGTGTGGCAAGTTTGACTCCAATGTTCAGCAGTTCTGGATGTTGCAAATGTGACATATTACAGATTGAAAACAGACAATATATGACAAATTTTTTAAAACTTAAGCCTTAATTTGGTTCAAATAAGCTAAAAACACACACACAATTTTTACAGTAGCTAGTCTTAATTAGATCAAATGAAAAAAAAAAAAAGTTTCTGGACAGTGCTTGAAATGAGAATTGGAGTCATTAAGATTTACAGGGTATTAAAACAGAACACTTCAGTCTGATTGTGTTAAAAGTACTTGCTACTTTAAGAATCAAGAGTGGAGACACTGTTAAGATGTTTTCTCACTTTTCTGTAATTAAAAAAGGAACACTTGAGTGTCAGAATAATTGCCTCACTCTCTAGTTAAAGTAGCACAAGTGCTGTATTAAAAGTCTTTCTCAAGTATTTCTTTTCTTTTTTTTGATAGGATAGACTACTTCTTTAATTCCTTGTACCAAAATCATCCTTTATCACCTGCATAACTTTAGGAAATAACCAAGATTAAGTTCTCCACTCTATTACCTTAATAATACTACCTGACAGCTTAAGACTCTGCCTATAGAACTAACAACACCCAGGCAGTACCTACCAGAAACAGGGGTTGTCTCTTTGCGTGGGGAAAATATCCATTGTTCTTCTCCAGCTTCTTCCTTCTTAGGTCCGGAGTACAAGAACTTCTTGGTGTTTCCTGAAATCATTGGAAAGAGAACAGTTAACTGTAGATTTACAAGTTCTTATGCTTTGGACTGTTCTCCAATTACTACAGACCAATAGTCAATACAAAAGACATACATTATGCAATGAAAACGTACACCTCACACATTGATTTAGACAAGATTTACAGGCTTCTTATACACGAGAACAAACCTTTTGTATTCATAATAAATTCTCCTTGAAGTATTTCCTACATCCTTCAAGAAAATCATTAAATTGGAAAAAAAAAAACCAAACAAACAAAAATCAATTTATGCTGGGGATAGACCCTGCACGTAAATTAGCAGAATTCCATACAGTATTACGAACTAAATGTCAAACAAAGTATTACTTGCTGAACACATCCAGGTATTTTGACACATTCAAGCAAGATTGGATTTGGTGTTTGCAGTATATCATTGGACATGCACAATGACCAAACTCAGCCAATAATAACAATCACATGGCTACAATTCAAGATCCACAAAAGAGCTTCTTTGTGGCTTTCTTTGTAAGAATTTGGTCATCAGAACCCATGCTTTTCCAAACAAATTTGCTTACAAGGCAAATAATAACCTGGACAAATGGTATGACAGATGCTGTAAACTTTTTCTATCCACATGTATTCATTTCCCTTTTGTGTTTTTGAAAAGCAAATTCAGGAGATTTAAAAAAAAAAATTTTTGTTATTTTTAAGACTCTAATTTGACATAATAGTCTTCAGTAAATTCCTACACCATAGACAATCATTTATGATAATTAAAAGGCAGATGGTAAGCAAGGTAATTGAAAAATTCAGTTTAAAATTTGATGTAACTCATATATTAAATAACTTAGGTCTTTGTACACATGCTGTTTAAGCAAAAACTAGTTATAAGACAAAATGTACACTTACTGATTCATTAAAAATGTTTTATCACTAATTGATTGTTTAAATTTTTAAAATTATGTAGAAGACTTTAGTCCATGTATACCAAAGAAAGACATACATATGCTTAAATAAGAATACAAGAGCATTTGGCATATATATACCACTTGATGTTAATATAGTGTATGTATGGATCAAACATATAAACAAGGAAATTCCATTGTCATCTCCTAATAAGGATAGAATGTACATGTATTGTATATAAATGTATGCACGGTTGTCCTGGTAACATACTTGATATTATAGATTTTTTTCTTGTTGCCTTAGGAAACTGTTATTATAGGTACCCTTATATGTGAAGAGAAATACCATCCTTTACCCAATAAACCAGTTCATTCAGCCATTATTGGAAGTATAGCTCTTAATAATAAATTATTGTGATTTAAATCTCCACAATATGTGCTATAGCTATGATATCCAAAATCACAATTATTTACACGACATTTTACAAATACCACCGCTATTTCTGTCTGTTATTATTTGTTCATTTATACCTTAGTAAAGGTAAATTCAGGTATACACTCCTGTTTGAAGCCTAAGATTATTAAGACTGCCATTAATATGAATATGGCTGTAAGACTTATATACATTATATATAACTCACCTGGGCTGGCAGGGTTCCTCATTATATCATATAGCTCTAAATGTGAACAGATTTCTCAGTAAAAGATTTCAGTCCTATATAGATTCATTTTAGTCAATTACATTTCCTCTGGATATACAGACTGGTTATACACCATATTTAGTCTGAATCACACAGGCTGTAGTATCCAGGCTTTAATTCAAAACTTATGTAAATAAAGAATCGAAATAATAATAAATTCATACACAAATAGACCTTTAAATGATTGAGTAATACATACAGATTAGCCGCTTGAATTTGACCCAAATTTATATATATATACATGTGTGGTTTGTGTATATATTAATTAATTTGATAGACCAAGAAGATTTTAAAAATCTCCTTTTGTTGTGGACCAAAGTGTTTATCCAAAAGCTCCAGAAAACATTGTGCGAATAATCTAACACCGAGCCCCTCTGATCGTGTCAATGATCTCTTCCTTACAGAACAGGCATTCAATTGGCACCTTTGAAGTTTAAACTAATGACTAGTTTACATGTCACCATTGATATGAAAGAACATGACGTAAAATTCAGTGTATGTGTATTGCAATATCCCTCAAAAGTGCCAGGAATTTCAATCAGTTGATTCAAATTGATGAAATGAAATCACTGCAGTATGAAAAAGTTAACATGTACAGCCAAATATTAAAATTATTGTCAATATTTTAAGGAGTCCTTCAGAGTTCCTGATCAGTTAACTTTTTTCCATGAAATGGACAGTCTTATGACAGAATTTACTTCAACAAAGAAGCATAAATCTTTGAGTACCAGGGACAATATAATACCAGGCTGCCTACAAAACAGGTATACATTTCCTAGGAACCATATAACCTGACAGATTGGGAGTTTTTTTAACAAGTGGATCTACAGCTATAAACAGTACAAACACTATTAAGTTCTATGGGACCCTCCCATATAAAACCGTCATATATACTAGTATATTGTGGGTAATCTATGAAGAAGTGCTGCAGTAGTGCCCTATCTGCCTATGTTGGTCATTGACAGAATTCACTGGTTAAGGCGTTAAGGATTCTAGTTAATACAACACACATATATCTAAGAAATAACAAAAAATATATTGATTTAACACACTTATATATCCATACAGACAATTTTCCTTTAGTTTCTCAGTTATAAATGATAGTTTATCACTGGATTATATACTATAACAATTCTGAAACCTAGCTGTCATCATAATGCATTTCTAATCTCCTTTCAACATGTTCAAATTCAAACTCTGAGTAAACAGTTAGAGCTCAGTAAGAAAGGGTTTCTGTTTTGACATCAATTTTCCTCTTACAATCAATAACTATCAGATATGCTTTTACCAGATTATTAAAACATTGCTGTGACGTCATGCCTTTGTTCTTGCAGTCTAAAAATTTACCTGTAGCCATCCGATAATAATAATTACCAGTCTGATAATATGTTATCGGACGGCAATGATAACAAAATCGGACGGTATTTAAAAACCAAAAGAAGAGTGGAATAAACTAAATATGTCCACCCTCCTAACCCCCATCCCCCCCCCCCCCCCCCCAAAAAAAAATAGGAAAAAAATCAGGGAAAGCAATCGCAAGGAAATTTAGTTGCTATAAAATAGCAAATCCATGAAAAAAATCGAGTTTAAACCATCCTCAAAATTAATACTTCCCATCTTAAAAGTGTTTTTGATACAGCACTTTGAATAAGCGAATTTATATATAATCGGCAAATCTATTTATTTCATAAGGATGTTTCTGGCTGCACTTGTAAAACCTGAGAATTTCCATTATATAAACTAAAACTCCAGGATGCATTTTTACTTTCCATGGTGACGGTAATAATTCCACCAAAAAAAAATCTGTATCAGGTCAATTTATGCACAAAATAATAAAAATGTTCCAAAATGAAAAAAAGAAATCCTTCCCCTCCGGACCCCTGTCTTGCTTATCTAAATGACTGCCATTGAAAGAACGAAATGAAACAAGAGTTCACCCACTGTTTTTACTGTCTCTTTTCTTATGTCTACTTATTAGACGGGTAAAAAAACAATTGATGCCTAAACTCCCATTGTGTTATTATCGGACTCCTCCAGGTAACTTTTGGACATTTAAATGGCAATGTTTTAAGTCCTCATACTATTCTATATGTAAAATTATCAGACAATGTAACGGGCCTCAAACAGTCTGATAATTTTACATATAGAACAGTATTCGGCATATATCCATTACTTATCCAATGAAGAACATATATACTTAAAACAAGACAATGACGTCAAAAAGACCACAAGATCAATTAAAACCGAGTTATCTGGATCTGAGATAAACACCAGAACAAACAAAAGCCCGACTGGCTACAAAAAATTGAAGTCGATAAATTCTAAGAGCAAAAGAGAAGATATGGATTAAATGCCCAAGAAAATTTATTTTAATTGAACATAAAATCTTTTTTTCCAACATATTGTAGTTATATAAAGTACAGACACTTTTCTTTGCATGAAGTTTGATAAATTAAGAATCTTAAAGATTCCAAATCTTTCAAGTTATTAAATGTAAAGATGGATTAGGACTGGCTACATCGATCGTCACTCCTATCTGACATAGAAGACAGCAATATAAGAATAAGCAGAATACCTATATCGAGGTTTCTTTGGACTTAATGTATGATAGCTGTGTCTGTTTCTTAATTTGTCTAAATTAAAGTTTCAACATGTATAAAATAGCAAATTTATGAATTAAAAAAAAAAAGTATTAAATGTCAGCAAAATGGAGGGGGACAAACCTTTCATCAGAAGTATTTTAAATTCATGGAGCACAATAATTGTTTAGTATTCCAATTCAAACTGCTAAGAAATCAACAAGTTTTTTTGTACAAAATTGTTTGGAATTTATGGAGAGTTTGTAATACATGTAAAAGTAAACACATTCAAGTCAACAAAGAATTTGATAATTGCAACTTTAAAAGTACATTATTCAATTGATTTGTGTATATATTCTATTTACCACCTTTTGGATTTATATGCTGTAAATATTTTTCTTTGTCCTCATGTTCCAATATATTTTAAATGGCTTTGAGTGAATAAATGAATTTAAACTTCAACTTGGAAAGATAGTTCCTGCTAGATACAGGATATATTGCAAAATGTCTTTGCTTAAAAGTACTGCAGATTCGGTAGCTTGAAAAATCAATATTCATCAAATACTGTACTTAACACCCCTCAATAAAAATCAAACAGGAAAAGACACCTCTATTTCTCTATAAAGACGTGATTATTATTCTACAGTGAACTGAATCAATCAGAATATAAGGAAAAGTGGGCAGGCTCACGTACATTGTATCCCATGCTCTCACAATGTGTGACACTGCTATACAAAGAGAATCTGAGAGAATGGCAATGGTATGCATAAAATACAAAAAATAATCAACCTCTCTTTTTTGTCAGATCTGATTCAATAAGGAGAATTTGAAGAATTAATTTCTGTGAACCTTCTTTACTGTCAGTTTAGTATCATGTGTACAGACCGTCAGATATGCAATAAATGGCATCTGAGCAGAGATATCCGCTCTCATAATAAAACTGTTTTTGTGTTACACATGAATGCAATCTGATGTACATGTACTATACATTGTATATACATCTATGACCAAATATCATATTTTTTTCAAATTAGTGTATGCATTCTGAGATCAATATCCATGCAAGTCTGGTTTTGATTAGGATGTTTATAGTTACCTGGGAATTAGGAAAGGACCTACTTCACAATAATTGGTAATAACACAGACATCTGAAACGATTTAATTGACAAGAAAAACAAGTCTCTTGAAGAGAACAATTAATGTCATTTAAAAGTAGGTTAATGATTGAAATATTAACAAAATAAGAGTTTGAAGTGGGGATGCCTTCAAATGAGTTAGGAACCAGCTTGTGGTAAAATAAGTAGGGGGTGTTCCATAATGCAAAACAAGTGCCTGTGGGTAATAATCCCGCACTATGTAGAGCAACCATTCTTATCCTTACCCTTCCTCTCTTGTGTGTATGTATATTGTATTGCATATAAGTATATAATAACAACCAAATAATTTCTCTTTACCCCACAAGGGCCCTTAATTGGTCAATAAACAAATTGAATAGAGTTGAATTATCCACATCTACCCCAGACAAGCAACAAATAGTTACCCAAACAATGTATATGCATGTACAAGTACTTCTTTGCTTAATTTTGAAAAGTATTCAAAAGCTGCAAATAAAGTTATATGGCTAAATCAAGCCATATATAGATAAATCAAGAGATTGTGCTAGACCTGATGGATGTTAAAGATCACTAGAGCTTTAGTTTATTGTACTTACCACTCTGTATATTATCTCCGTTCCTCATCTATATAGAGATTATCATTACTTGTTTAGCATTTAAAGTAAATCAATATCAAAATACCAAAAGTTTTGTGGAAAATCAAACTCTAAAAAATAATTTTTTAGAACGGATGTTCATCGTCTGCCATATCTAAACAAAACGGAAGCGAGGTTGGAATGGGTTTAACTAATATGCGAAAGGTACATCAAAGGACGAAAAAGCAGCCGAAAGTTCAAACTTTATGGAAAGAAGTTATAAATCTATGACAATGCAATGTTTAAATTTAAAAATATATCCTCGAGGAGCCTATTTCGGTGGTAATAAGCATTCAATTACAAAATTTTCCTAAAAAGTTATGGTCAAAGTTTGCTTTTTTAAAGTATGTCAAACTCAAAGGTCAAAGTCAAAGGGTCAAAGTGCATGGTATCCAATGAAAGGACTTTTCACAAGGATTACATATATGAAGTATAAAAGCCCTATTTCTTACCCTTCAAAAGGTATGGTCAAGGTTAAAGTTTTTCACAGGTACGGAAATCTACAAAGTCAAGGTCAAAAAGTCAAGGTTATTGGTATCCAATAAAAGGTCTTTAAACAAAGAATACATATGTGAAGTATAAATGTCCTGGTATCTACTGTTCCAATGATATGGCCAAAGTAAAAGTTTAAAATTTTCATGTAAAAGTGGGTCAAACTCCAAGGTCAAGGTCAAAAGGTCATACATGTATTTGGTGGTACCTGAAAAAGGTCTTGTCACAAAGAATACACATGTGAAATATGAAAGTCATGGCTCCTCTAAATCAAAAGTTATGGGCAAGGTTAAAGTTTTTGCGCACAAACAGACAAACAGACAGACAGACAGAGAGACAGAAAGACAGATGGGCGGACACGGCAAAAACTATATAACCCAGAAACTTCGTTTACCGGGGCTTAAAAAGATTTTTTTTTATAACTGCAGATACTATAATTGCTATAATTATGGTAAATTTTAGCATTTAAAACGATTCTGACTTATTCAGTTCAGCATCTCGAAAGTTTTAATTGAATATTCCACAAAAAACGAAAATACAAGACACACATAACATACATGTATTTCCATTGGCGTCGGAGGCAAATTGAAAGGGGGGGGGGCTGGGGGCTGGGGGCTAAGTGTTAGAGAGAAAAAATTGTTACCTACGAAAAAAAAAAAGGAAACTGTCCATGTCCAAACAAGAAAATCCTATTTCGTGTGTGAGGGAGGGTGTGTGTGTGGGGGGGGGGGGAGAGGGGGTGTTGTAGGTTCGAACTTTCAGCACCATTTCCCCCCCCCCCCAAACACTTCCACTTACCCCCTTTTTGACCTAAACTGCAACATGTCTGTGCAAAGTGGGGGCTAAACCTACGCCCCAATGTTCAATGCTTGTATTATGTCTATCTTTGCAAAAAAAGTAAGGGGGGGGGGGCTTTATAGCTCTCCCCATGTTCGTATTTCAGAAAAGTATGAAGAAGCATATGTACAGCGTTGCTATGGGTTGTATTTGACAAAAATAATTTTTTTTGAAAGATTATTTCCAATATACAATATAGATCAATATCATAATTTCAAGTAAGCTCTAAATACTAATAAAAGTGTTTATGGACTTTGATGAATTTTTAATATACTAGTAGAGGTCTGCATCACAGGACGCCTGCCATATTTTGATAAAAGCATACTCTTGCGTATCGAATCAACTGAGATACATGTTTATAAACTCCGTATGCAGGTGATGAGGGTATACTGCTGCATAAGTAAGGGAAGTTGACGATAGAAAAGTTAAAGTCATCACGTTTATCATTGGGTGTTAGATTACCATTAACGTCTTTTTCAAGTAAAATATCCAAATACGAAATATACATGTGTCAGAATCTGTGGTATCTTTTATTTCAAGTTGAAGGTCACAGCAAGTGTATTCTTCTAGATCTTCTCACGCATAAGATTTTGCACAAATTCTGCTTCATATGAATACAAAAATAGGTCTGCTAATAACGGGGCGCAATTGGTACCCATGGGAAACCAATAGATTGTTGGGAGACCTGGTCTCCATAAAACAACATAGATATGTCAATCAGAAACCCCATCATCTTTTTTTATATCAATTTCAGAGTACTTGTGTGTGTCAAATGCTGGTATAGGTCTCGAGGGATGACACTAAATCTCACTAGGTGTCATTACAAAAACCTCGAGTTAATGCCCACCGTCTCAAATAGGATCTGCCAGCAAGTCACATGTCACACCTCCTCGTTTGGTGGCCCTGGAAATGCTTTGGTAGCTGAGTGACAGTGGCGAAAGGCGAGTTTCCGGCGCCTTTAAATAACCGGAACCAGTGACTAGGGGAAGGAAAACCCCAACAGAAAACCACCGGTCCTCCGGGTCCAGGGGGTTGGGCATGGGGCTAGCAACTCCATCCCATAAAAAAGCCTATGCTACAGAAACCGCAACAACACCACAACAAGTTCGAGACCAAATCTGGAAGATAGCTCTCAAAAAGAGCTCATGACGTGTTCAGGTGAAAGCCATCAGGAAGCCAGTTCACCGACAAATCTTCTGTCGATTAAGGCAAAAACCAGGATAGGGACCTGGAACATCAGAACCCTATACGAGGTAGGAAAATCTGCCCAAGTTGCATCGGTAACTCGATTGATTGATTGATTGTATACTGTTTAACGTCCCTCTCCAGAATATTTCACTGATATGGAGACGTCACCATTGCCGGTGAAGGACTGCAAATTTAGGCCCATGCTCGGCACTTACGGAGTGCCACACCTGCTGTGACACGGGGCCTCGGTTTATACGGTCTCATCCGAATGACCGCCCCATTTAGTCGCCTTATACGACAAGCAAGGCGGTACTGAGGACCTATTCTAACCCGGATCCCCACGGGGCTCGGTAACTTGAATGAAAACGGAGAACTTTTACAGATTTCTGCACTTTCAATGATCTAGTTAAAGGAGGTACCATTTTTCCTCACAAGGAGATACACAAGACAACCTGGATTTCCCCCGATGGAAAGACAGAAAATCAAGTAGATCATATCACCATCATGCGAAAGTGGAGAAGTATGTTAGATGTCAGGACAAGACGAGGAGCAGACGCAGCCTCAGATCATCAACTGGTTACAGCTACGCTGAGGATGAAACTCAGAGCATTCAAGGAAAAATCTAAAACACCGCACTACAAGTTCAACATCCAGTTTTTTTAAAAACAAAGGGAAGAGAGATGAGTTCAATATAGCAATAAGCAACAAGTTTTAAGCACTAGAGTGTTTGATAGAGACAACCATAGAAGATCATTGGGTAAAGCTCCAAGACACCTGGAAAAGTGCATGCTGTGAAATCCTAGGAAAGAAAACGAGGGAGTACAAAGAGTGGATGACAGCAATATCATGGGGAAAAGTGGAAGAAAGGAAAGAGCTGAAGCAAAAAATAAACCAATGTAAGAATAGTCAACAAATGGAGAAACTGAAAACAGAATACAGATAAACAAACAAACAAGTCAAAAAGAGTGCTAGGAAAGACAAAAGACAGTTTGTCCATGACATGACTGAAGAGGCAGAGAGAGAGAGAGAGAGAGAGAGAGAGAGAGAGAGAGAGAGAGAGAGAGAGAGAGAGAGAGAGCAGCCACACAGAACAACTCGAAAAAGCTCTTTGAAATAACCAGAACACTCTCAGGAAAAAATGTAAACACCAACTGCCCAGTGAGGGACAAACAAGGCAAAATTATTACTAGTGATGTAGGACAAAGAGCTAGATGAATGGAGCACTTTGAAGAAGTTCTAAATCGACCACCACCACCCAGTCTTGCAAATATACCACCAATGAGAGAAGAACTTAACATCTACGCAGGACCACCATCTAGAATAGAAATCACAAAGGCTATAAAGACACTGAAAAATGGAAAAGCAGCTGGTCCAGATGGTATCCCTCCTGAGGCATTCAAAGCTACCCCAATAAAGTCAGCAGAGATGTTACAACCACTTCTGCAAAAAATATGGGAAAAGGAAAAAGTACCAGATGCTTGGAAAACAGGCTACCTGGTTAAATTACTTAAGAAAGGGGACCTCTTGCAGTGCGGAAATTGGAGAGGCATCATGCTTTTGTCCATTGCCAGTAAGATCTTAACAAGAATAATGTTAGAAAGAATGAAAGGAACATTGGACAAAGAGCTAAGATCAGAACAAGCAGGGTTCCGCCAGGACAGATCATAAATTGCCAAACTACGTATTATTATTGAGCAGTCCATTGAATATCAGTCCCCTCTGTACTCAATCTTCGTGGACTTTGAGAAGGCCTTTGACAGTGTGGATAGGTCAACCAGCTGGACATTAATGAGGCATAATGGAATTCAAAGTTAATGAGTATCATCAAGAATCTATATGACGATGCCACCTGTCATATCATCCACAATAGGAGGCTCACAGATCCTTTCAATGTGGAAACAGGAGTAAGGCAGGGCTACATCCTCTCATCTACCATATATCTGATAGTGATTGACTGGATCATGCAGGAAACAACAAAGGGCAGTAAAAATGGAATCCAGTGGACCTTCACAAAACAGCTTGAGGACCTGGATTTTGCAGATGATATTGACCTGCTCTCGCACAAGCTACAAGACGCTCAAGAAAAACTTTCAAGATTGGCACCAGAAGCCCAAACAACTGGCCTTAAAATAAATACCAAGAAAGCCGAGGTGATAAAAATTAATGAGCCTTCTAAACGAAGACAATGTAAGTTGTTACTGATTTGTCAGCAGGGACCAGTACGTACGGATCATGTCATCTATCTAATTCTTTTTCACTTCTGGATTATTGAATACAGGATAGATGGTTTTCATATTACCCCTCAATTTTTTAATACGCAATTTCAAATTTATATTTTATTCCAATCTCACCGGGATATATGGTGCCGACATAAGAACATAAAAAAGTGTTAATTGACAATAGGTCATTGATATATCTAAATGTTGAGTTGAAGGCAACGGCAAGTGTGTTTTTTCTTTCACGTATACAATTTTGATCAACTAATAAGACCTATAAAGGTTTTGTACAAAACACTTTAATGCCTTTACTAATTAATGTATCATTAAGAGCTTAATAATTCATTAGCCTTAAACAAAAATAGCTTGGTCTGCTAATTGGTGAGATGAGAATTCCAAGAGATTGTTGGAAGACCTGGTCTCGAAAAATCACATAGATATTGTTTATCAGAAACTCAAGAATCTTTTTAACATCAGCTTCAGAGTACTTGTGTGTATATTTAAGGAAATAATTTTTTCCAAACGACCAATGACAAGGTGAGTAAATTTACGAGTTCCGATGTTCAACTGTGAAAGACGATGCACGACGAAGGACGTAAACAAACAGCAAAAGGTCCTCTGAGTGACAGTTGAACAACAAATAACCAATTAAACAAAGTAGAAAACAAATTACCGTTGAAAACAATGAAAATGAATAGGTGGTCTAGTTTACCTAAAATACAACTTCAATCCAGTGATTAAAACATCCATTTATGTTTAAGATCCTTTGATTTATAACGAATTGGTATACTTGATAAAAAAATAGAAACTGAAGGAACTGGGGGTGTTAGGATGCATTAAATTAAGAACACATGATTTACACAAAAGTAGCAGCCTCCGAATTAAACCATTGGACAGACAATATTTTATTTAACCAATCGTATTTATTCAATTGTTGATCAACAAATTAAGTAGAACTCCAGGGATAGACATATAAGACATTGTATTGGCTTCTTTCTTGTAGACCACATTTATCCTGCAGGATACAGGATAGAAGCTTGAAAAAATGAATTATTTCCTAAGAATTTGCGTGCTTAGTATTTTGAGTCGAATTTCCATTGCTCTCTCATTCTTGTCGGATCAAAATGATGGAAATTGGTCTCGAGATTTTGTAACCGATAATGAACCTAAAAATACAGATATTTTTCGCCAGCTTCTCAACCAAGAAACCATTATACGAATGA